CTCCTCTTCGCTCAAGAAAGTGAGCGAGGCGCTCACAAGGCTTTCCATGCAGGTGGCCGGGGCAACAGAAGTGGTGCTGCAAGGAGATCCTGAGCCAAGCATCAAGCAGGTGCTTCACGCTGTCGAAGCGTGCCGTGTGAAGCTTGGACTGCGCAGCGCCGTCCAGCTAGCCCCTGCGGGCTCTCACGCCTCAAATGGGCAAGCAGAGACGGCGGTGAGCACAATCCGCCGGAATGCCATGACGTTGAAGTGCTTCCTGGAGGCGCGTATCGGCGCGCGTCTCAGTGGAAAGCATCCTCTCTTCGCCTGGCTGTTGCGCCACGCGGCCTTCCTTTACAACAGGTTCTCCACCACCAGTCGGGGCATCACACCCTTTGAGGTCCTACATGGACGGCGGTACAGAGGACGCCTCCTAGTCTTCGGGGAGAGTTGTATTTTCCACAAGGCCACGAAGTACAAGGGCGACCTCCAGTGGAGAAAAGGCATTTGGGTTGGCGTCAACGAGAAGAACAATGCGCATGTGCTTCTTACGCCAGAAGGAGCTTGTGAGAGCAGGTCGATCCGCCGAGTGCCTGTGGAGAGCCAGTGGTCAGCCGACGAAGTCTTCCAAGTGAAAGGGCTTCCATGGGACTATGGAGGCAAAGTGCGAAGGAAGAGGGCCATGTACACTTCTCGAGTTCCTCTTCTACCAGACCATGCTTCATTAGAGCAGTTGGCGCGTGCAGCGGGGAAAGCAGCCGCAGAATCCATTGCAGCAGGGACACCAAAGCCTCCTGCCGACGAGCTCGGGACGGATTCCAGCAGCAGTAGCTCAAATCCATCTTCTCCGTCACGGTCATCAAGAAAGAGCCAAGGAATGGAAGACATAGCAGAGGAGAAAGCACCAGCAGCAGAGGAGAAAGCGCCAACAGCAGAGGAGGAAGCACCAGCAGCACAAGAGGAAGCGTCAGCAGCGATGGACAGCAGCACTAAGGTAACGAGACCGGGGCCTGAAAAGGGACCAGCAAGCAAGCGAGTCAAGCTTCTGCTGGACCGGCCCAAAGGCTCACCGACTGCTGGGAGCGTTGGTGGCTCGCTGTACCCTCCAGGGTTTGCTGGAATCTCCATGGTCCACGGCGACGTCGAAATGGATGAGTATTCGCAGGCAGAGACATGGCTTGATGAAGTGGAGCCAGTCCTGGAGTTCACAGAGAATGCTTGTGAAGAGATGTGGTGGTCTCCTGATGACCCACCGCCGGAACTAAGCCCTGACGAGTTGGCAGCTTTGGACCTTGAGAGCGACAGAACAGAGGTGGAGCGCCTGGTTGCCATGGGCGCACTGAGGCCCCCCAGGGATGGAGAGGACCTGGGGCAATACGAGCAGTTGACTACGAAAGTAGTCAGAGACTGGCGAAAGAGGCCTGGCTGGATTCGCAGATCTCGCCTAGTGGCCAGGGAGTTTCGCTCGTGGACGCCGTGATCGCAGGAGCTGTTCGCTCCATCAAGTTCTCTGGCAGTGGTGCATGGGCTGATGGCTTGGGCACAAGCCAGAGGCCTCGAGCTCACCACGCTCGACATCAAGGACGCCTACCTGAATGTGCCGCAGAAGGCACCAGTGGTGATCGAGGTCGACGCGCGGCTCTTTGACACCCAGAGCAGTGGCTCTAGGAGGTTTGTGCTTGAGAGGCTGTTGCCAGGCCAGAGGGTTGCAGCCAGTGAGTGGTTCCAGTACATGAAGGGGATGCTTGCGGAGGCGGGGCTCACCGGCTTTGCTAAGGAGCCCACCTTGTTCCGAGATGAGAGGCCTGGCTGTGACACAGGCCTGGTGCTGCATGCTGATGATGGGCTTCTTGCTTCAACACCAGCAGCCCGACAAGCCCTTGAGAAAGTGCTCGCCAAGAAGGTCAAGGTCCAAATCAGCAGCCCACTGAAGGAGGTGGGGGATGAGCTGGAGTTCCTGAAGCGAAGATATGTGAAGCTTGAAGATGGGATAGCAATGTATTCGGGGCAAAAGCATGTTGAGGCTCTCTTGGAAGCAATGGGGCCTGGATTGAAAAGCAGAGACACTCCAGGAGATGCCAGTCTCTTGGAAGCTGATACAAGTGCCGCCCTCGCTCCTGAAAGGGCCAAGCAGTACAAGGAGTGTACTGGCAGGCTCTTGTACCTGAGCCACACGAGGCCGGACATACAGTACAGCACATGTGTCCTTGCAAGTAAGATGAGCTCACCAACCGTTATGGCCTACAAGTGGCTGGCGAAAGTCGCCGGCTACCTCCAGAAGGTTCCCAGTCTTGGCTTCCTGATCAAGCCTTTGCAACAAGCAGCCTGTTTGGAATACAAAGGCTCAGGACCCCTTCAGCACGGAGGCCAGGTCGTCTTGGAATCCGTAACAGATGCTGACTGGGCTGGGTGCAAGCGAACAAGAAAGTCTCGCTCCTCGGTGCATCTGTACCTGGGTGGCAGCTTGATTGCCAGTCACGTTAGAACTCAGAAATCTGTGTCGCTCAGCAGCGGGGAGTCGGAGTTCGTTGCAATGGTGAGTGGGGGCACTGAAGTTGTGTTCATCCGGGAGTGCCTCGACTACTTGATGAAAGGGTTCGCTGAGATTGATGTTGTGCTTCGAAGTGACAGTGCTGCAGCTAGAGGCATCAGCCAGCGAATCGGCTGCGGCAAGGTCAGACACTTGAGCTGTGGCCTTTTGTGGGTCCAAGAGGCCATCAAAGCCAAGGTCTTCCGTGCAAGCCCTGTGTCAGGGCAACGAAACCCCTCTGACCTGGGTACAAAACCTCTGAGCGGCCCTCGCGTCCGAGAGCTCCTATGTCGAAGTGGAGCAGTGGACGATGATGGAAATCCATATGGACTTGAGGACCTTGAGAGATCCCAGAGCAAGATGCAAGTGAAAGAAATGATGAAAAGCAGCGGAGTGGGCCTAGTGCATGCGAAGAAAATTCTGCCGATCTTGCTTGTGATGGCCCAAGTGCTTGGGGCTGATGGTGCAGAGGGCTTGGGCCTCGCCGTGACGATGGCGATGATGGAAGATGCTCTTCTGTCTGGAGTGGCTACGATGGAGACTGGCCTGGTAGTAGTGTTGTTTTGGCTTGGGGCTTTGTGGGTCATTTGGTGGATCTACAAGTGGGCCCTTCCAGGCCGACGAGCAACTGTGGACCAGGCCAGCCAAGCAAAAGTGGAAAAGGTGAACCGCTACACCCAAGCGAGCATCGGAATGTCACCAAGCGAGCGGCAGTTCATGAACGAGTATGTCGACAGATGTAGTTTTCTCACCGAAGCCTTGCATGAAGAACATCGTACTGTAGAGCAATGCGAGGAAGCTTTGATTGAGGTTCGCAATGAGAATAGGGATCTTCGTGCAAGGCTCGCTAGGAGTGAAGGGCTAGGATATGCCCCCGAGTCAATCACAATCGCAACTCACCGGGGCACAGTGTATCATCGTGAAGATTGCGGAGCCCTGGCCAACAGTCGTCATATCGCCAGATACAGGGCCTGTGATATTTGTATTCGGCCCAGGGCAACAGAAATGTAGCGAGAGTTCCTGAGTACAGCACTCAGGAAATCTCGAGGCGGGGTGTAAGAGTTGCACTCCTTTTGCCTCACATGTATCCATATCAATCGGCAGCCCTTTGCGGTTCAGAGAAAAGTCTTTCAACAAGAGATCACTCACTCTAAGTTTTCCAACGCAGCGCGAAACGACACAATAGGTAAGCTTGATGTTGGTTTGACGTGCAAAGAATGTTGCAATGTGGTCGGACAAGACAAAGGTAATCCACCAGAAAGGATCAAGGAAAAGCGAAGGCTCTCAGACGGCCGCATGTTAAGTGTGTGGGATCTTGTGTTGGTTCCACTGACTTAATAGCATGTTTGCGGTTTTGCACGGACCTCCCCTGGACCCATCAAAGCCTTGCAGAAACTCTTTTTGCAAATAATGTCCTCTTTCTTACTTTTGGCTTTGAGCTTGTCCACCAGAGCTTTTACAGTCATTGCGCTCCACAGCACGTGGTCCTGCCATTGTGTGCTGCGTCGCCGTTTGCCCGGCCCTTCGCGGAGGGGTGCCTTGGCATTTCGTGATCCTGGCTGTTCGCATTCTTGGATTATGAGGGCCTTGCGCAATTTATTGAAGTAGATTTTCTGTGTTTTCCTCGTCCTTTGAATGAGATCGCCCTGTTTGCAAGTGTGCCTTCTTTACCCGTGCGAAATGAAAACCGAGAACGGTTTCGCAAGGCTCGGTGCGTGCTGTGGCAATGCCACTTGAAGTTTAGTAAAAGGTTAGTAGAAAGGCAGTGTGGGGTAACGTATGCCTTTGGCCAACCCGACAAACACAGGAAGCGCCATACACCCTTCCGGCATTGCAAACCCTGCTTTCTCAGCATGTCTTTTTATTCTAAAATTCTACCCCCACGTCCTAAACGAAAAACTCAAGCCTAAGACTTAACCAAAAACTTTCAATGCTGAACCCTAAGCCTAAATTTTCTAGAGCATGCGGGTATGTTGCTGATTCATATGTTCGGCAACCGCGCGAAGCTACATCCAGTTCCGGTCAGCAAGGCTGCAAATTAGCTAGCGCTCGCATTTTTGGCTTCCATGTCACTTGTTCTGAACAATGTTGAAGCATGGATGCCACTAGTCAAGACAAACCAGCCAGCGTGTCACTCACTTGCGAGATTTTGAGCTTTGTGGTACGTGGCTCAACAGGTACGGAAGAACATTGTTAACGTGTGCAGCCCACATGTGCAGCAACACCTGTTCAAGTTTACATTGTGTTGTTCACAAACACGCTTAGCCCAACACCTTCCGTTTCTATTTCCCATCCGCAGCAGCTGCCTCGGGTGTGGCTTGCAGCAACAAGCACGTGTGCTGTCTGCTTAGCTCGTGAATCTTTGCCCAGGTTCGATGGACACCGTCGTTGAAGATGCTGGTCATTGGCAACTTTGCGATGTGATGATCAAGCGAAGTTGGCGTTTTGTCACCGATGGTTTCTAAGGAAAGCAGTTTCATCCTCCCCACTCATGACTCTTCGGCGGGAAGGTTCTTCGTCAATACATTTGACGTTTGCATATGGGTCTCTCGCAACATTCGTGTTGTTGCCCTTTCAAAACCCATGTAGCCAATTCTAGCAGGATTAACTCCTCCACCGACGCCACCTCATTCATGGTGGCAAACTGCAAGGCTTTGGATGGTAATGTCAGGGCTTCAAAGACTTATGCATGGAATGATGTTTGTAAGGATGGCATCCTTGAAAAATGCTCCGTTTTTGGGTGCGGCTTTGTGCCTGACAGGCCACCATCAGCTGCCAGCGTCGAGTGGTTTGATGGTGAGGCTGCAGGGTGTGAGCAGCTGAAAAACTATGTGAACACGTTGCGGGCCCGGGACATGGGTTGGAAACGTGGAGATGTCAAGGCCGCTCGACCACCATCACGGAACGTCGTGCGGCCCTCTCCGAAGCGCGTGCGGAGCCTGCATTCGGGGGTTACCACAAGCATGCATGCTTCGAGGGTCAAGGGATCTCGGGTTCAACGGCCCAGGGTTTTCTTGAGTAGGTTATTGAGTCCTCGTGTCCCACGGCCAAGGTCTATGGTAGTGAAGGTGGACTCTGCGGCAGCTTGCTTGGGGGACCGAGGCTGCGTGCGAAATTGTAAAATGAAAGTTTTTGGGTCTTCTGGATGTTTCTGGTCGGTCGCCTGCCGACAAGTTTGAAGAGCTTGAGGGGTTCTTTGAACTCAAACCAGCAGGTCAAGCAGGAACACCGTTCCTAAGTTGGGCGTATCATCATATCTGCGACACTGCGTTGTGGACTGCGAGACGATGCCAGGGATCCCTGTGCCAGCACGGTCGTCGGCACGGCAAGGGAGAAAACCCTCTGGGCTGGAAGCCGAATGCTGTCCAGTAGTTTTCCACCTCGATGTTGCCATGAGCCGTCATGTGCAATGTCAGTGAGCCTTGCAAGCCTTGCAAGCTGTGTTTGTTGTGACCCTGAGGCAGAACCGAAGCGGGCCGCCAAAGCATTCCTGGGGACGAAGAGCTTTGCCCGCCTCTGAATGTTCCGAGAGGTTTGGGCTGGGGATGGCTGGGGTGTGCTCCGAATCGCCAGCGTGTCACAAAGCTCTTCTGTGACCAGTTGCTTCAAGATTAACAAGGACGCTCCGCCGGACGGAAGGCTCCTACTTTCATGACAATGACCCCGGCCCTAACTATGGAAAGCATCGCTACGCTGCCCGAAGAGACATTTCCGAGAGACAGATGCATTGATTGGCGTAGACAACTTGGAGAAGCCGATGGGCTTTGCCGCGCAAACACTACTATCGAGCACCTTCAAGTCGTTGTGCTGATGTTGGGCCCAGATAAGAATAGAAACAGTTCAAAACCTGGCTGCTAGGCAGCCTCAATTTGATGGAACCATGGACCAAGCGTCGCGCAATGGCTACCGCCTGGTGCCGAACACCGATGCGCCTGCGGAGCCCGCTGCGATCAATGGTCCAGGCGACTCTGGCGACTCCACAGTCCCAGACTCTAGACCCATAAAGGTCCAGCTCTCAAACATAAGGCTGCCGCCCAACATATCTCAAGCACCCTTTTTTTGATGTTCAATGTGACAGCAGGAAACATCATAGAACAGTTGATGGGGCCTTGCGCGAGACAAAGCGCCTGCGAAGGTGCCCGGGCAGCGCAATCACAGCATGCGGCAGGTGCTTGGAACCTTTTCAAGAAACAACAGCGAGTTGTGGTGTTGGTATTGGGGAGTTGGGATTTTGTACGTTCCGGTGTTTCGCCCGAGTCTCGGTCGTTGACCTGTGACAGAACCTCGGTAGCTGTCGCCACACGGGTGTTTGACGCGTGCAGGCCCCTGGTCGGACGTTGCTGCTGACAGCGACAAGAATCTTGGCACGGCGTTTAGGACCATTGAGGAGTTTAAAGCGTGTTTAGGAGGACAGGGGAGGGTTTGGTTGTTTACGAAAGCAGGGCTCGGGAGTGCTGGTTTGCAGGCGCTGGGTCGCGGAGAAGGCTTTACGCGTGATGAAGCACGACTCTGCGGGCCCCTAGGCTGAAACATGGTTCTGTTCTGCCAAGATTTCAGCCGTGCAATAGTAGAGGAACGCAGGCCAGTTTGCTGGTCTTTCAGCTGCTGGAACATGTGCTAGGTTTTGCCAAAGTGGATGCCAACTCTGTCTATGGTGCGGCCTTGGCACTGCCGCAGCTGGCGAGTCACCTGGCAGGCACGTGAAGTGCCTTGAATTTCTTTGAGTTGTGGGAGGCCTCTGGCCTCTGCTTCTTACAAGCGCGGCCGCACAGACGTGTGGAGCATGCGTTGCAGCTGCGTGCTGCGTCGTCGTATTGATGTTGTCCCTTCTCATAGTGATAAACAGTATCTTAATCCTTCTATCATGCCGTGGCAATAGGACCGGAATACCCTACAAGCATGAGCCGTGAAAGCGCAGTAGTGCCTCGTAGCAGTCGTAGCAGCTTCAAGAACAAAGGAAGCGCGGGATGGACCATCTCGTACACGGGCCTGGCCTTGCGGGGTTTGCTCTTCATGCTGATGAACAACCTCCTGCAAGGCCCACGCCCGCAGCGATCACAGCTCGCAGTTTTCAAGATGCTAGGGGCTCTCCGAGAGAAGCACTGAGGCCGAACACGAGGATTCAGCATTGCTTGTTCACATGAGGGAGCCCTCAGGGGCCTTGCCGTGGCTTTTGGGTCAAGTTCCTGTCTCTGACTGCCGAAGCAACACTTTCCTGACAGGTTTCCTGCTGTACATGATTAGCAAGGAGGAGAGAATCATCAACAAGTTTGGCAGTCAAATGCGCCACGGTGAAGCGAGTTTGCGGTGCTGTTGCGTTGGGAGCTCTTTCCAACTTCAAAGCTTTGCATAGCTTTGCCGGGCTTGCCCTTAGAGCATTAGAGAGCTTTGACCGGGGGCGCTCTCCATTCTGGCCTTTTTCTCCTTTTTCTCAAGCTCTCTGACAGGCAGCGGGCTGAATTGCTGAAGGTGCAGGGTTTCGGCAAACGCCCATTCCAAGCATTGTGCAGCATTGTCAGCTTCAGTCGAGGTTTCTATGTGATTTTGCAGCACATCACCAAAGATGTCCCGATGAATCAAATTGCGTTGGTCCGGGCGGAACGATTATCACACCGACTCCTGGCAAAAGATACCTTTCATTACCTTTCGATAGCTGCATGAGGGGAGTGGAAGGGGGGAGAGAGTGAGGGAATTTGTCACGGGAGTGGTTTGAGCGGGTAGACGTTGGAAGCTCATGGGCCGGTCTATGTGGGGTGGCCTTGTTAGGCCTTGCTCAGGTTTCAAACAAGTCGTGTATTCAGGTGTACTCCTGCATCCTCCTTCCCAGCCTTGATGAAGAAAGGTTTACGGAGAAATCGTTTGACGGATGGGGAGAAGAAGGTGTCTTGATGTGTGCTGGAAATAACCCCAAACTGCCTGTAGCTTGTCCTAAGCCCTGGTGAGGTCGCGGCTCTACGACTTTGATCTCTGGTCGACGAGGACAAGCATTACTGCTCTTTCTGCCTGTGTAATGCACTACGGTTCCAATCTGACAGGACCTTCGTCAGGGACTCCTTGACGTTGCTTTTTCCAGAGAAGGAGCAAGAAATCCGGGACAAAGTTGATCCAGGTGAATATGGGGCCGCTCGTGCGACTCAGAACAGGTCTTTGGCAAGGTTGCGAAGTGAAACTTGGGAAGGATGGAATGAAGGATGGAATGCAGGATGTCCATAGCTGTATTTGCTGCATGATTCTGCATGGGGTTCTCACGAGAGATCCCGTGGAGACATAGGGGCAGTGTAAACGTACTGGTAAGGTGGAGTCGTACTACCTGCGGACGGTGTGCTGTTTCCTTTTCGCCGCCCGGCAGTGAAGGTTCAAGAGCTCAAACACACAGAGGGACGGCTCTTCTATTGCAGCCATTCAGTGAAGTTACGCTGAATCTCCGAAACAGAAACACGACCTAGCACAAACCCTCAGACCCCTCTAACAAACCCTACGACCCCTCCAGCAAACGGCCACCATCGGCAGGTGTTGGGTTTGTGGCACGACTTGGCTGGCTCCTGGGAGATGTTGGACCTGCTCTGGTGTGTGCCCACCGACTCTGAGAGGTGGAACCTCCGGGCAGCAAGAGGTTCAAGTGAACTTTCTTGTGACACATGGCCGGGGGGTTCTCATAAGCCATTTTTGAGTGTTGATGCGTGCTAGTGAGTTTTTAGGGTTTCGAGGTTCAGGATTCAGGGTGTTGGGGAAGGCTCGGAAATCTCGGTAGTGTTGTTGGCGTGAGCCGCTGGGGCACGAGACTTCTGGCAGCCAACTGTAACGTTCGTTCTTCAGAGTCGTGGTCGATGCAAATCATGAGCCTCTCAGGCTCTGAAGGGTCCTCACGCCTAAAGCGTCCCCCACTCTTCCCAAGCCCCTATTATCATTCACTGAGCCGAGGATCGTGCCAACATCAATGCAGAAGGCCCAGGCTGGCGAGTGCGCAGACCCTTCAAAAGACCCTCAAAGAGGCAGCGCCGGATGTAGCTTTTTTGGGATGCTCTGACCCTTTGGGGCCATCCCTTGAGGAAGAAGAGGCAGGCGCCCAAGCCTACTCCGACCACTCACTTCACGAGACGATCGAGCTGGACTTTGTCCAGTTTCGCGTGGCAGCTCACCCGCACCCGGTTCGGTGCCTGCCCTTCTAAGCCCCAAGACCGAAGGGCTTGGCCATGGGGTTCCACCAATTGACACTTTTGGAGCCGCTGCCCTCTCCCAAAACCTTGGTGCTGGAGGCTGGCATGCCGCTGCACTGGAAGATCGTGAACTTCTTCTTCCTCCTTTTCCCCAAGATCTACCTCTGGCTGCTCACCGTCGACATTGGCATCGAAGCTTGCATCAACCGGATGTTGCATAAAATTCACGCGCTTCAAGAACCCCACACCTTAAAGGCCTGAAAGGCCTCCAGGATACTTTTGGTTGCATTTGACTTGTCGTTGTATGTCTGGGTCTGCACACACTCCTGTGCGAGACGCTGTTTCTCCTGCTTGGGTGAGGTGTTCCTGATGGAGACGTCTGAGATAGAGGACATGATCATCAACTGTGTGGCCCTTGGGTTCATCTTGACAATTGCAGCCAGGCAGAACATGGCAGAACATGGCAGAACATGTTGTCCGTGTTATCCGTCTTAACCCACTAAACATCACTAACCTTTCACTCAAGCCCCCCGGAACCCTCCAAGCCTAAGCTGAAGGATGAGCTCATGATGGGCATCATGCCCCCGGAGTGCACCAAGATGCTGGAAAATCTGAAAGGCTATGCCAAGGAGAACCGGCCGCAGACCCACCTTCCGGATGCTCAGCAGCACTTACACTGAGCCACCCAAAGCCTCTGCGAACCCCAGCAGCGCCTCGAGCCAAGAGAAGATGAATGGCCTTCGAGATCCGAACATGGCTTGAGGCTCACTCGTTCGCGCTCGTAAGCGCGAACTGCTCAAGCACATGCTGAAGCACATGCTGGACAGAAGTCAAGCATGGGTTACGTCGTTCCCTCACAAGGTCTGCGAGAGAGGAGGTCTGTGATGGTCCGTGTGCGATTGCATGCGAGTGCTCTGGGTTAGCCTGTTCCAGCTTTCGCTGTCGCTTGCCCCTCAAAGTGAAATTTAGCAGGCCCAAACAAACAGCAAAGAGGTTGGCTTAATTGAGCTGAGGAGCATGAGGAGGTTCGACAGCACCAGCTTGCCAGGACTGCACTGGGACATGTCCTCTCTGTCTTTCTGCTTCTCTCAGTATTCGTCAATATGTCTCAATATTTCCCAATCTCGTTCTGAGTTCGCACAGCTGCAGTCTCTGTGCGACGCAAGAGTCGGGGCGGCTGGGCATCAAGAAGGCATCTTCCCATGTTCATGATCCACATGATCCGAAAAAATGTCTCCTCAGGCCAGCCAGGGAGCCCTAAGAGCCCACAAAGCTCAGCAGGAACTGGCACTGCTGGAGTTTCTCCCTCTGGGCTGCCCTGATCCCCCGGCGCTTGCTTGGGATGCTGGCAGTGACCTCCTTCTTCGTAGCCAAGTACTATGTGGAGCATTGTGCTTCCTGGGCCGGTATTGGGGCATTTGTTGGATATTTCGGTGTAGTGGATTTAGATGGATTAGAAGATGTCGGGTGAAGGCGGAGGGGCGAAGGAATCAGAGAGCCCCGAGTAGCCCTCAGGTTCATATGGATGACGGGAGCTGGGTGTCCAAGCCCCTCAGACTGCCGAAAGAAAGCAGCACCTCGTCTGCGCTGAGCTTTTGGGGCCTTGGTGAGCACTGAAAACTCCTGGGGAAGTGCCCAATGAAGCAAAAGCAAGGTTTTGGCTTCTTCTCTACCTTTGCACCGTATCGTGTGCATGCACTGTTCAACAAGAACGTGTTACATCAAGGGTGTTGGTTATGTCATTTTCCCTTTGACGCCCGCTGTTCTCCCGAAAATCTTCCTAAGCCTTTGAAGTTGCTTTTGGGGCATTGATTGCTTCGAATCTCCGTAGTGAATGGCACCTCACGACATGTGCTGCCGGCTGTAGAGCCAGTACTCCGTGCCCGTGATCATGAACAATTCTGTAACAAGACTGCAATTCTCAAGATGGTCCGTTCACAAAGATTCACAGCTGCTGACATGGTGTTGGTCGAGTGAAGAGAAGCCATGCCAGCCGATTTAGCTTTCAAAGCAAGGAAGCTGGGCACTCTTAGAGACTCAAGGACGCTCCAATCAGGTCGCTGCCATGTGATCCCACATTGTGAGGAGGATGTCTCGGCTAACTTACGCTGCATCCGAGGTCTCTCCATTCTTAGCTTTTTGTTCGGGCCTTTGCCCACCCTCTACCCGATTGACGCAGAAGAGCAGCCGATCTGGGAAATGCCGGAGCCTGGACTTGGATTTTGCGTGTGTCTTTTAGGGTTTTTGGAGTTTAGGGCGAAGGTCCTATTACCCCACTTCACCCTGCCCACGTGAGGAAGTACCGCGGGATGGGTGATCACCATGGATCACGACCATGTACAAAGACTTCTTCTGACTTGTGCTAACGATCCTCGCAAGTTCTCTTGGCCCTGTGAGAGGACAGTGCCAAAACCCCAAAGCCATGGGTGAATTGTGTGACCCAATCAGACTGCTACATTTGCGAAGGAATCTGTATGACCAGGGTCCTGGAGGTTTGCAGAGGGAACTTCACATCGTTTGAGCAAGGATGGTGGTGGACGGATCAGATCTTTGCCGGTGTGGACATCAGCTAGACATGATGTTGCTTCTTTATGCATCGATGCTTCGGACCTGCTATCACTTGCTCAGCAACTGCGCAGAGGTTTTCGCAAGGTTGAGATCTTTGGAACCAATGCTCGGTTTGTAGATATCAGTCACACGGTAGTTTGGGAACGACATGGTGGCAGCACTTATTGTAACTAGAGGCCAAGGATCTCAACATCATTTTCAAGCTTGAGAACCTTCCCAACAGTCAGAGGCCACACGTTGTGGTAGTCTTGCTCATTGAGCCTCAAATCTCGGGCTCTGCAGTCAAGACAAGATGCCATCTAGCGAACGACTACACGCCATCAAACCCCTCTACATCGGTAGGCTCCAAGAATGTTGTGTTTCGCCTCGAACCTGCGGCCGTGTACTATACGTCTGAAATGTGGGCGTGGTCTGGAGACGACCCTGGCGCGGTGGGGGCGGGGGGCCCCCAAAGCCTATGAACCTGGAACTGTAGGGGTGTGGAGTTGGGGGCCCGTTGCCTTGACACAACCCAGCCCGCCAGGTCACGCCTGTGTGACAAGTATTTTCAGATAGTATCACCGACTGAAAAAGCGCTGCCTTGCTGGTGTTCCGCGGAGCCATGTCTCAAATCATCTATCCCTGAGCTCAAAGACCCAAACTTTACACCTCAAAACGCCAATTGACCAGACCGCCCACAAATCTGAGGCCGGCACTAGAGCGATGACTCTGCCAGGTGCCCCCCCCCCTCCAGTTCCTGTGCGTACTTCTCATCTCAGGCTTTGCTCTGGGCTTCGTCTTCAGGGTTTAGAGCTCAGGGTTTAAGGGTCAGGGTTTAGGGCTTAGGGTGGAGGAGTTGGGCAGTCAGGGTCATCGGATGATTGATGGGTGTTTGTGCAACGCAGAGTGTGTCTTTCCAGACTTGGCACGATGCTTGCTGCCGTGCCCTTCAGCTTAGCGCACCGTGGAGTGGGCGGACTTGCTTTGGGGCAAGCCGGCGATGGCAAGTGCGGGTGCCGGTCTGAGTTGTGCAACTGCAGCCACCGCAAGGAAGCGCGCAGAGCATTCGGCCCCCCCCACTCCCCCCTCTCCCGAGAAACCTTGCAACCCCTCCTTCCTAAACATCCCTAAGCCCTAAAGTTGGGGTAAGGGACTCTCTGAGGTGCTCGGCGAGGTCGAGGTGTGCTGGCGGCTTTGCTGCTGGCACCGTTGCTCTTCTTGAGGCCTTGGCAGTGGTCTTCGAGTGGCTCAACATGTCTCTTTGTAGAGTATATGTTGAGTATGTCATGTCTGGTGCCGATGAGCACTGTGAGGCTGGATGATGTCTTCACCTCATTCTCGCGAACACCCAGTCAGAGGCTTTCTTTGCGCATGGAAGTTCTGGTCTGTGTCAGCAGCCGCTGTATTAACAAGGCTTCAATCAGGAGGCACTCTGCCTGGGTTCTCGTCCTCCGTTCTGGAGGCTCAAAACGATTCTTGACATTCGAGAGGCTTAGGCCCTGCCACACCCTTAACCCTGGACCCCTGCACACCATGAACTGACCGAACCAACACCTGCATCCCCCACCCTGAACCCCCGAAGGTCTTCCGCAGCAAAAATGGATTTTTCCTTGGGAGCCGCTCCCCAAGTCGCTCCAAGGCACTGCGCTTCAGCGCTCGGAGCGGTCGGAGGGCCTCTTCGCCGTCGCCTCGGAGAGAAAGCGCTGAAGGTGTCGAATTTGGGATGCGCAAGAGCGCTTTGGGCATGTTTCTTCGGGTGCTCTTTGTTCAAGGACGATTTTTTGCTTCTTGTGCTGTACGCTTTTTTGCTTATCATATTCCCTCTGAGCCCCAGAAGCCTTTCCAAGCTCTTCTCCTCGGCTGTTGTTTCTTATGCTCCAGGGTCCCTCAGCTGTGTTGCCGTTTCCGTCGTTTTTTTGAAGGTGCTTGTTGCTACACTGACCTGACTTTTGCTTCTGCTCCCGCCCCCGCCCCCACACCCCCTCCTTCTCTCGTACCTTTCCTCCCAGAGCGTCATGGTCATGCTGCTACCTTTCATCCCCTCCGTTCTATTTTAACCTCCCAAAACACTAAGTAAGTCGTAAGGTTTCACAAAACAAGAATTTGGACGCCCCTGCAAGATGACAAAGGCAATCCAAAGCGAAGCCGTGTTTGGCAGGCTGGCACATTTGCATCAGCCCGGCCACAGCCAACCCAACCAAGCCATGTTTTTGCTTAACGTATACCTTGTGCTTCTGCTTCACAAGCAACACGCTAGTGTCCCCCAAAGCACTTAGCCAAGGTGCTTGCAAAAGAGGGGATCCAAGCTCTTCCAAGACGGCCCCACCAGAGCCACACGCACATATACACACACACACACACACACACACACACACACACTTACACACACACTTACACACACGCACACAACGTAGAGACGCATTCGTTAGACTACGCTCATTAAGCCTTCAACCCTAGAGTGAAGGTTGATATGCTCGGGGAGAGGCTGGGCCCTGTGCCCTAAATCCCAAACTCCCAGCCCCGAATCCTTAGCCTTGGACCCAAAAGCCCTAAGACCTTTAGGTTGCTATGCTCTCGCTCAGGGTAGGCCCAGACTCAGTTTCAAGCTGTGTAACAGGACAAACTGGCAACAACAATGTTCAGCATGACGCGGCACAACAACAACCACTGTGCAGCATACACGAACAACCGGGAAGGCAAACGACCGGATAACAAAGCGGCCCAGAGTGACACAAAAGTCGGTGTCCCTTGGGTTTGTTTATTCTTGTTGAGAAGTGAAATTTGAAGTGTGAACGTGTAGAAAATCTTGCAAGCCTTGCAATCACGCTTTCGAGTGAAGGGGAGACTGGAAAGGCCACGAGGAAGAAACGCAAGTGCAGAGCACAGTCGTACATGCCATGGCACTTTCTTCTAGCGGCCTTGAAAGATTCACGCAGTGTCAGTTGCAGAGACGTCCAGCTCTCTAAATCGGAAGGCCTCAAGAGCGCAAACAACAACATTGTAAGGCTCTGACCCTACATGGTAACGCCTCGACCCTAACGCTTTCTGATGCGTTTTGCATGGCATGGACAGCCAAGGTGGCTCCCAGGCTTCAGAGTAGCGAGCGGCGGGGGCCCTCGAAGATCTTTGCAATGCATTTTTTTGATTTATTCAGTAGTGTGTAAAGGTTTGAGGTTTTGGGTTTAGGGCAAGGGTTGTGGGATTTTGGGTCGAGCAACCGGCCTTTCTTGGCAAGAGCCCGCCCACTCCTGAAACCTTCACAAGTCCTCCCCCCCCCCCCCCCCGCAAGATGCCCTTCGCGAGGCTGCAGCTGACCCTCTGCCAAGCGCGGGGTGGAGCTGCCAAGGGCTCTCTGGTGGCCCTGGCCTCAACATGGGAGTTTACGAAAACAAGGGACCCCTATAGTAGACCCCAAAATAGTAGGATTCCCTTATGGTAAGGACCCCAATAAGGCACCCCTAATCTCGGAAACCCCCAGATGGGCTTTGGCTGGCTTTGGGAGTTTTGTTGGTTCATGGAGTGGTGCAGGTCATCGCTGGCCCTCCGGCTGCAGGCCCAGGGTCTAAGGCCTTTTGGGCATGAGCGGAAGGGGGTAGACTGCTGTGGGGGTGCAGGCAAGGGCACCCAGTGCGAGAAGATCAAGGAGTCGCTGATGTGCTTAGTAGCCTGCAGGCATGGATTGAGTTTTTGAGGGCTCTGCCCTACCGGCCATGAATCAAAGCAGTTCGCTCATCCAAAGATGGCGTTTTGGTCTGAGTTTGCCAGCCTACCTCAAGCAGCGAGGACAAGTACGGCTTCGTTCACATCTCCACAGGCACGGTTCTTATGAAGGCTGCACTACCCTAAAACCCCAGATGCTAGACCCACCAAGCAGAGACCCAGAAGTTCCTTCCACTCTTTTGCCCTTGTGCTGGGATCCAGGCGACATCCTCCGCGACAACGTCAAGAAGGAGACGGAGCTGGGCAAGAAGGAGCGCCTGTCGGGTGCATGAACCGGCTTTACACACAACCTCAACCTACTTTGGAACCCGGGTCTTAAAGTGAAACAACCGTGTTCAGGCCAAGGGCTACATGGACTCGGGCGCGTGGGTGGCCCAGGCTCAGGGACTGACCCAAAAAGGTGGGGTGCCTTCGGTAACAGGCATTGCCCCACATGCTCGGGGAAGAGATTGGTTTTCCCTTTGCCGGTGTGTCCTGTTCCGAAGGATGTCTGTACAAGTGCCATCTAACCTGGGCCGCCTTGCTTTTGTTGGGGGAGGGCGGGCCTTATGTCCCAGCACAGTCCAAGGTTGGTCCCCAGCGAGCTGATTGTGGACCTTGTGAAGGCTCAGAGTTTTCAGTAGGCTCGAGCTCGAGGTAGGACAGTAATACTTGTGTGAGCTGTGGTTGTGCAGGATCGCCTCATGCAGGACGACATTAAGGACTGGTTCCAGTGCGCGAAACCGTTTAGGGCCCAAAGAGCAGGGTTCTACGGTGAGTTCCCCAAATCCTATATCGCGAACCACGTTTTTGTGGTGGTGGAACTAGGAGAAGGGCTGCCTGCTGGATGGCTTCCCACGAGCCCCGGACCAGGCAACCGAGAGGGAGGGGAGGAGGGGAATGAATACGATCTGCTGCGGAAATCCATGTTGAAGACGTTGACTGCATTTGAGATGCTGTGCTGCTCAGCTGCTTGACTAGATTCGAACGACATCCCTCTGTATGGCCTTTCGGTGGGGAGTTTGCTGTCAGCTTAGAATTCTTTTGACTGACAGGCTGAGGCCATGGTCGATGCGGGCCTGGATGTCCAGAAGTTCCTGGTCATCAAGGCCCAGCACCTGGAACTTTTTTTTGATTTGTTTTTTGTTTGTTTCGGGGGCGGGGGAGGTGTGGAATACTTAATTTAAGAGGCAAGGTCTCTGCAGAGTAAGACAGGGGCTTGCCAGCGTTGCTGGCGCATGCTGGCGCGAGGTGCCTGACGACACTTTGGTTGAGCGCGGCTGCGGCCGCCGCCTGGGGCTTGAGGAGAACAGGAAGTGTAGAAGGATCCAAAGAAGTGCGGACTCTGACTGTGGCGAAGCTCTGCAGTGTAGATATGGAGATCTAGGGAGCTCCTGTTCGTGGTGCCGTGAAACGTGAAACATGTGAAACTCGGATTGCAAGGCCTGGACCCTGAGACTGGGGAGATCTACCACCTGAAGTTCAGGTTCGCTTTCGTTGCCTGTGTCACTTTCGCGCAGGTTCGAGGCAGGTTCGAGATGTTCTTCCCGTGCCAGGCCACCTCCTGAGGAGGTCGTGGAGCGCCTGGTGCACCGCAGCGACGACCAGGAGCCGATGCAGTCTCCCGTGTGGAGTGGGCACGCGGCCTCACGATGCGGTTAAGAACTACAAAGTGACGAAGACGCAGAGACACACACACACACACACACACACACACACACACACACACACACACACACACACACACACACACACACACACACACACACACACACACACACACACACACACACCGATTCGGCGAACTCGGCTCCCAGGTTTTGAAAGCCATAAGTTGCACATGGCGAGCGCATACAATGCATACACTACTTCCAGTCTCTCACAGCACACCAGCTGTCGCCGACCATACAATTCTTTGCTACAGCCCAAGCCCAAGCTAAATGTGCAGTAGCCAGTAGCCGATCGGGTGAATCTGCACTGGTCCCAAGCCTTTGGCCGCGGCTGGTAGCGGCTGGTTGAAAGCTCGAGGTGGGCCCCTGCTGCTCGTTGAAGGTAGCATTGTAGAAGCTGCCTTTTCAGTTTTAGATGGGGAAGCTCGAGGTGGGAAGCCCTTTCAAATGCCGCTGCCACTCCAAGGTGCTTGGGAGGGTAGGGAGTTGATCAGAGTTGATAGGAGTTGTGCTGTGGCCAGAACTTCATCTGAGCTTGGCAGGCCGTGTGCTCGCAGCTCGACCCCCAGAGTCTGTGATCCTGGCATCCTGGCTCAGATCTCTTAGACTTGATCCAAGCGCGGCGTGTGAGGCATGCTTGCGGCCACGGCTCAAAGCCACGAGCAAGCTTGGAATGGAGGCGCACGCAGATCGACAGGGAATGGCATCGCCTGGGTTCTGAGCTGACAAAGGCATACGTTTCGAGAAGGATGCACAGGACATTCACTGGATCCTGCATTCAGCAACAATCAGCAGCACCGAAGACTCACAGAATTCGTATGGAACAGTCTCCGAACAGTGTGTAGATGTGTGTGTATAGGGTGCTACAAGAATTTAAGGGGGCTTTTTGCCGCCTCAACTCTCCGAATTCCGAAGTTCGAAGCCCCGAAAAGGGTGGCGTGCCTCGCTGCGCAACCACTGCGGCGGCACGCCTCCCGATGCTCCGGTCGATGGTCAAGGCAGCACCTGGAGTGGGGGAGGGTGAAAGTTGCAGTGAGGCCTTGGGAATGGGTGTTTTTGGGACTTTATGGATGTGGGTTTAGCACGCGGTTGCTTGAGGTTTCAGGCGTGGGATCTGCGAGTCCTGCAACACTTTGGCCCCTCCGACAGTCTGGAGAAAACGAAAAGCTTGCCGCAAGAGCAATTTGTGCCGTGCAGCGTGGTGCGCATCAGACTTAGGAGCGCGCAGCTGAGATTCATTAGCTGGTAAGGTTCAGGCATAATTTCAATTGCAGCAGAAAAGTTCCACATCAGCCTTATCGCGTGAATCTCGTGTTTAAGCCTATTCACGGTCCGTTCCGGTGCACATGGGTTAGTTCTTTTTGTTCGGCTGGCGCGACTACCGCGTGGTTACGTTGTTGCTTCAAGTCTTCAGGACCTGAAAGCCAGAGGTCCCCGAGCCTCGAATGCTCAAACTCCACATATCAAGCCATCCAGGAGAATCGCATCGTTCGCACGATCGAGGTGCCATGGGTTTTGTTGCCGTTCGGGGTGCTGGTTGGAGATGAGTTGAAGGATTCAGGGGCCTAAGCTCTGCTAGTTGAAAGGGGGGGGGGGGCAGCTGTGAACCAGTCTTGCACATGATTTGCCGCGACGATGCAGGAATTCCTCACTCAAGGAAACTTTCGATATTCCAAGGTGTCCGGAAGCCTGGCAATGTCGTTCGCGAAGGCGCCGCGCTTCCGTGAAGGACACGCTGCCACACCAGGCCCTGGACGGTACCAGGCTCAATTCAGTAGCCTGTCAGGGCCGAAATACACGTTCGGGAAGCCGAAGAGCACACGAAGGGCGACAGAGCTGCCCAAGTTGCACCAAGCCCAGCTGAAGCTGGTGGCGGAGCTTGGCCGCGGTGGGCTTGCCACCGTACACAGAGCACGCTTCTGCGGCAAAGCTGTTGCCGTGAAGCTTTACCGTTGTCAGCCCGGGCTGGGAAACCCTGAGCAAGACCGCGAAGGCCTTCACAAAGAGGCTTTGCTCCTCGCAGGCCTCAGCCATACAAACATTGTACGTGCACTCTTCTTGGTGACGGACAGGGGCGTAGTCACGGGCTTTGGCCTGGAGCTCCTGGGCCAGTCCCTGCAAGCTGCCGCGCTCAACGGCCAGCTGACCGCTCAGCGCCTGGCAAGTGCCGTGGCGCCCACCTGCGAGGCCCTGGCATACCTGCACCAGCGGCCGATCGCACATCTGGATGTGAAACCGGCCAACATATGCTTCACGGCCCAGCTAAGTGTGAAGCTGGTCGACATGGATGCCGCCATGACCATGGATCATCCAGATGAGCTGACACGGCGACTGCCAGGGAACTTGGCAGACTTGTCTCCGGAGATTGTCAACAAGATGCCGTACAATCCCCTGAAAGAGGACTGTTGGCAAGCAGGCTGCACCTTCACGACATTGATCGAGCAGACGCAAGTGATGCGCGACGAAGTGCTGCTGGCGCGTCTGCGGCCATTGCTTGGGCGTGCCGAGTCACGCCCCAGCATGCAGAAGTTCCTGGACGAAAATCTGCAGCAGTCCGAAGCAGCCATCAGACAACTGTTGCAGAGCGAGGGACTTCCAGCCCTTCTGTGGAGCCGACCTCAACCGCAAAATCCCCTGCTGAAGCTATTCGGCTGACAAGATGTGCTGAGCGCTCAGTCAAGGTGACTGGCTCCCTCCACAGCGGGCTGGCGGGCTGCAGCAAGCTTCATTCCACCCTCCGATTGGTTCACCTCCGCAGCGGGCTGGCGGGCTGCAGCAAGCTTCATTCCACCCTCCTGCAGGCTTTTGGGCTGAAGGTGATTGGCTCCACCTTCACAGCGCTGGCGAAGCGGTGATGGACGGTGTGATCATCCCGATGCTGCCGCGGATTGGAGAGCCGTGGACTGGTCGCAAACACACTGCCTAGCATCCTCGTCTCCTACATCTACATGCAGTCTACATGCATCTACCTTCCTTCGGACATGAGCAGCTGGACGATGCACACGGTTTCCTTGCTGAAGTCTGTTGTCGACTACGTTACTGGCAGTACACACGGACAAAAGCTGCTCGCAGAGTAGTCCTTCAATCCCGTCCCGGCGAAGAGCGAATGACTGGCTCTGGACCTCCAAGGTCGCGAACCTTCTGCCTGCTGCCTGTGCGGACGTGTTCTCCTGCGAGCGCACTCTGCGGACGCTTGGAATGGGCAGGGCTTGAACGTGATCAGCGTGAAGCGGGACACTTGGTCACTGTGGAAGGCCCATGAGCTGGAGGTGGCCAACCAAGCCTCGGAGGCGCGAGCGCTTGCGCCGAAAACTCACCTGGATGGCTTTCTGGATGTGGTCCCGTTGCGGTGTTGGAAACATTCTCATGACGAACTGGTCAGCGTAGATGGGCGCCAGTGGGCCAAAACAAGGTGCAGCGCGATTCCATCGGCATTGCAGAGTCCAACCGTAAGAACACTTGTTCATTTTTTTTTACGCAGCCTTGCAGTAAGGTCTGTTGGGCGAGGCAGTGCTGACCACATTCCTTAGCCTTAACCCCACAATTATGGCGCATCAGAGCATCAACAGGCTTAGGGCTTACGGATCTTTGGGTTTAGGGAATCCTCACAGTTTCCACGAAAGTTAACCGGGGGGGGGGGCAGCTGTGAACCGGTCTTGCACATGATTTGCCGCGACGATGCAGGAATTCCTCACTCAAGGAAAATTCGATATTCCAAGGTGTCCGGAAGCCTGGCAATGTCGTTCGCGAAGGCGCCGCGCTTCCGCGAAGGACACGCTGCCACACCAGGCCCTGGACAGTACCAGGCTAAATTCAGTAGCCTGTCAGGGCCGAAATACACGTTCGGGAAGCCGAAGAGCACACGAAGGGCGACAGAGCTGCCCAAGTTGCACCAAGCCCAGCTGAAGCTGGTGGCGGAGCTTGGCCGCGGTGGGCTTGCCACCGTACACAGAGCACGCTTCTGCGGCAAAGCTGTTGCTGTGAAGCTTTACCGTTGTCAGCCCGGGCTGGGAAACCCTGAGCAAGACCGCGAAGGCCTTCACAAAGAGGCTTTGCTCCTCGCAGGCCTCAGCCATACAAACATTGTACGTGCACTCTTCTTGGTGACGGACAGGGGCGTAGTCACGGGCTTTGGCCTGGAGCTCCTGGGCCAGTCCCTGCAAGCTGCCGCGCTCAACGGCCAGCTGACCGCTCAGCGCCTGGCAAGTGCCGTGGCGCCCACCTGCGAGGCCCTGGCATACCTGCACCAGCGGCCGATCGCACATCTGGATGTGAAACCGGCCAACATATGCTTCACGGCCCAGCTAAGTGTGAAGCTGGTCGACATGGATGCCGCCATGACCATGGATCATCCAGATGAGCTGACATGGCGACTGCCAGGGAACTTGGCAGACTTGTCTCCGGAGATTGTCAACAAGATGCCATACAATCCCCTGAAAGAGGACTGTTGGCAAGCAGGCTGCACCTTCACGACATTGATCGAGCAGACGCAAGTGATGCGCGACGAAGTGCTGCTGGCGCGTCTGCGGCCATTGCTTGGGCGTGCCGAGTCACGCCCCAGCATGCAGAAGTTCCTGGACGAAAATCTGCAGCAGTCCGAAGCAGCCATCAGACAACTGTTGCAGAGCGAGGGACTTCCAGCCCTTCTGTGGAGCCGACCTCAACCGCAAAATCCCCTGCTGAAGCTATTCGGCTGACAAGATGTGCTGAGCGCTCAGTCAAGGTGACTGGCTCCCTCCACAGCGGGCTGGCGGGCTGCAGCAAGCTTCATTCCACCCTCCTGCAGGCTTTTGGGCTGAAGATTGGTTCACCTCCGCAGCGGGCTGGCGGGCTGCAGTAAGCTTCATTCCACCCTCCTGCAGGCTTTTGGGCTGAAGATTGGTTCACCTCCGCAGCGGGCTGGCGGGCTGCATGCCACCCTCCTGCAGGCTTTTGGGCTGAAGAAGATTGGTTCACCTCCGCAGCGGGCTGCCGGGCTGCAGCAAGCTTCATTCCACCCTCCTGCAGGCTTTTGGGCTGAAGATTGGTTCACCTCCGCAGCGGGCTGGCGGGCTGCATTCCACCCTCCTGCAGGCTTTTGGGCTGAAGAAGATTGGTTCACCTCCGCAGCGGGCTGGCGGGCTGCAGCAAGCTTCATTCCACCCTCCTGCAGGCTTTTGGGCTGAAGGTGATTGGTTCACCTCCACAGCGGGCTGGCGGGCTGCAGCAAGCTTCATTCCATCCTCCTGCAGGCTTTTGGGCTGAAGGTGATTGGTTCACCTCCGCAGCGGGCTGGCGGGCTGCAGCAAGCTTCATTCCACCCTCCTGCAGGCTTTTGGGCTGAAGGTGTTTGGTTCACCTCCACAGCGGGCTGGCGGGCTGCAGCAAGCTTCATTCCACCCTCCTGCAGGCTTTTGGGCTGCAGGTGATTGGCTCCACCTTCACAGCGCTGGCGAAGCGGTGATGGACGGTGTGATCCCGATGCTGCCGCGGATTGGAGAGCCGTGGACTGGTCGCAAACACATTGCCTAGCATCCTCGTCTCCTACATCTACATGCAGTCTACATACATCTACCTTCCTTCGGACATGAGCAGCTGGACGATGCACACGGTTTCCTTGCTGAAGTCTGTTGTCGACTACGTTACTGGCAGTACACACGGACAAAAGCTGCTCGCAGAGTAGTCCTTCAATCCCGTCCCGGCGAAGAGCGAATGACTGGCTCTGGACCTCCAAGGTCGCGAACCTTCTGCCTGCTGCCTGTGCGGACGTGTTCTCCTGCGAGCGCACTCTGCGGACGCTTGGAATGGGTAGGGCTTGAACGTGATCAGCGTGAAGCGGGACACTTGGTCACTGTGGAAGGCCCATGAGCTGGAGGTGGCCAACCAAGCCTCGGAGGCGCGAGCGCTTGCGCCGAAAACTCACCTGGATGGCTTTCTGGATGTGGTCCCGTTGCGGTGTTGGAAACATTCTCATGACGAACTGGTCAGCGTAGATGGGCGCCAGTGGGCCAAAACAAGGTGCAGCGCGATTCCATCGGCATTGCAGAGTCCAACCGTAAGAACACTTGTTCATGTTTTTTACGCAGCCTTGCAGTAAGGTCTGTTGGGCGCGGCAGTGCTGACCACATTCCTTAGCCTTAACCCCACAATTATGGCGCATCAGAGCATCAACAGGCTCAGGGCTTACGGATCTTTGGGAAGCCAGCTTTCCTCCAAGCTCGAGATTCGGCGAACCCAGCACCAAATAGAAACCCCGTGGAGCAAGGTTCTTGTTCAAACCGTCCCTTCTTTGGCGGAGCCTCGCCACACGGAAGCTTCAGCCTGTTTCAAGGCTTGGTAAGCCTTGGTTTAGGCGCCGGGCAGGTCCATAGCGGATTCTCTGCCCTCGTTGCAGACGCAGCGCGAGCCTCCCGTGCCGGTACAGAGGCCGGGGATCCGAGGACCCCCCAAACCCTAAACAAGCCCTGAGTCCTAGGGCCCTAGACCGTAGCGCCAACCTGAATCCTCGTTGCTCGAGGCGCCTCAGCGCTTTTGTTTTCTCGGGCAAGCCGCAGAATTCCGTATCTTTACGAGTTGAACTGGGTTTGCATCCACATTCTTCCCGTCTCTAAAGACCGCTGTCTTTCTGACTGAGTTTTCTTCCTAAGCCATGCAGGTCGGCTTTGATTGCCTGTGGTCCTCCTCACTGACATCCAGTGCGATCAAAGGCCAATGTTTGGCTGTTGCTTGCGCTCAATGTCGCATCGCCCCAAAGCATCCTAAGCCACTTGAACGTCCACAAACCTCCAAAAAGCTCGCCCACCTTCCCGGGAAGGCAAGCCGGACATAGAGACCGTCACGACGTCTGAACGACTCCACATCGTTGACGACGTCCTCGAGGCTGAGGGTCCCGGAGTCGAATGTTTCCCTGGAGGGCAGAGATGGGCAGAGTGTAAAGAGCCTAAAGAGTTTAGCTCAGTGTAGGCTCTTTGAGGTTGTGTTCAGGATTGGGGGATGGGTGTTGGGGTTTGGGATGGTGTTGTTCAGGGTTTAGGGACTTGGGTTCAGGGTTGGGATGCCACATGCCAAGATGTAGAAGCTGTCGGTGAATTTTCTCCCCAGACCCTTTGCTTGCCCAGGTGTCAGACAAGCCCATCCTTTATGATGGGGACACCGGCGGTGCAAAGGAGGTGGGAGGGGAAAGACACGTCACGTCCCAACCCGCCGTAAACCAAAAAACAGTCACAAAGAGTGTGGATGGAAACGCAGTGCCCGTCAGTCCTTCCTTCAACCCCTTTTGAGCGAAGCGGATATGTATAGGTCCATCCAGTGCAGCACTGCACGTGAAGACCATGGCAAAATGTTCCCGGGGGTGTGTGTACTCAGAGGCATTGTGTATGTCTGGCAATGCCGCGGTTCCAACTTGGAGCTCGCATAGAAACCTCCTTAGGGAGTGAGCCAGCCCTCAGACTCTTCCACCGGCCTGCCGCAGATCTTCGCCTTCACAGTGCGGAAGCTAGAGCGTCTTGGGGTCTCCGGGGTGGTCATCGAGGACAAGTACCCCTGGCCGGATTATTATTACCATGTTTTTTTTTTTTTTTTGTTTGGGGGGGGGGGGGGGTGGTGATTTGGGGTTCAGGGTTCAGAGCTTCCATACATCCCTCAGCAAATTCACCCGACCCTTAACCCTATGTAAGGGATTCGACACATTCTCCACTCTGGCGCCACCTATTCTTCTTCAGTTTCGGATGCCGTTTGTATGCACGACAAATAAATGCCACAGAGGCCACAAGTTCAGCACTCTCTTACTATCCCAAAAGCTCAAGCTTCTGCAGCCGCTCATGAGAGTACAAACGGTAATCTGAGTCATCACAGTATTGAAAATGGAACGGTCCGCCGTATTCATCGCCCTGGGCTAAAGTCGAATGCAGCCGACAAGGAACAAGAACAAGATGCCTTGTGTGCACCTTGCCGAAGACGCATGAAGGTGCCCTCAAAACAGCCCTCCCGCAGACCAGGCTACGTACGGCTCACGCGCTGTGTTGTGGCCACCTGGCACAATCACAACCCAAGAAAAGCAACAAAAAACAGGCAGACGGTCATGCACCTGGAGACCCGAACTGCAACCTTTCAGCCTGTGCCGGTTTCAAGTGTGGAGTTCATGGTGAATTTTGGCTTCGCTCTACATTCTAGTGCTCGCCCCACAACAGGTGCGGGCTGAAGCAGAACTCCCTCTTCGGGACGGACAGGGTGCAAACCCTGGAGGACAGGCACTCAGGTGATGAAGCGCCCCCACCTCCTCCGCTTTCCCGGCTTTGGGGTTAAGGGTTCCCTGGTTTAGGGTTTTGGTTTAGAGGTGTAGGGTCCATAGGGTTCAGCCTTCTGGGATTTAGGGTACTGACTACTCCTGCTCTTACTCTTTACCCGTGCTCTCACTCTTATTACACTTTTTCTATTCTGGTCCTTTCTTTTGCTATGACGAGCATGACGAGTATTATGACTCAGTTATTATTCTCATTCCTTACTGCCCTTATTCGTACTCTTTTTTTACTCGTATTAGTCTTCTGACCGTGAATACTACCATTAGTTTTGATGGCTAATGTATTGTTGTTTCTATGTGGCGATTGTTGCTATTGTTATGAGTACTGCTAAATGCTTTTTAGGAGCATCATTGTTTTTTGTCTCATTTTTGTTTTGCTTTTTCATTGCCTTGTTACTACCCTGTGACTGCTACTGGTAGTATTACGTCTGCTAGGACCATGTTACTCAACATGCCCGACACTTTATGCAACATGCTGCAAAGGATGCTTGAATAGAACATACTGCAGACGAATGTTTAATGTTTCTGCAACCAGACGCGCTGTCTCAAGTGTTCATCCTTTTGCGAACATGCCGAAACACTGTTATGCAACGCTGCGGCCACAAATCTTCACAAACTTTGATGTACCCATAAAGCCAATTAAAGCCACACAGGACATCGTGACTTGTGCATTTCACGCGAAACCTCGAAAAGGCCGATACAAGGGCCCACAACTGTTGGCCATAGTGCGGCGTCAAATACGCGACTTGCGCCGACTACTTGTACTGTTATTGTTGGCTTTAGTGCTACTTGCGCGTCTATTTTTCACTTTCACTGCTCTCATTAGTATTGCAACTCCTTTTTTTGACTTTTACTATTCTTAGGACTATCGGTACGATTACTATCATGATTACTCCTAAAGCTGATATCATTGTTTTTGTTTCTATACGGTATTATCACTATTATGACTAGTGAGCGGTGCGGCATGCGGTCTGTTTTGTTGAAGTGCTTTGCTGCATGTCGATGATTTTTGCACAATGCTTGTGTACAGCCTTATATCACGCAACCTGACAGCACGCTGCCGAGCGTGAACCGTGTGGCAGGCGCCAACCCATCCGTAACTGTGATTGATATTGTCTTGGAAGATTAGTGTTCTTAGCATTTCCATTGCTATCACTTTGATTGTTACTCTTAATGTTACTATTCGTATTACTGCTGCTGCTGCTGCTGCTGCTGCGACTGCTCCTTCTGTCTTTTGCCCATGGATCCCCGAAGTAGCAACCTCGGTCGCACAAGTCAGCGAAGGACGTAGATGTCTTCTGCGAGAAGATCCGGGCTGGCAAAGAAGCTCAGGTACCTCCGGGAACCCGTGCAAAGAACCCTGCAACCCCAAAAGAGATACTATCCTCAAGCGTGTCACAATCTGCGAATCTTGAACAGGTTTCAAGCCCAGGGACCCCCCAAACCCCGGGACGTGGGAATGGCCGCTTGGGCAATGCAGATGTTGCACCTGCCCAACTCATCCGAAGTGTTTGGAATGCGTCTTGGGCTGGCAGGTCACCCCGCATTTCATGATCTTCGCTCGCCTGGAGGCTTCTCATTTTACATAAGCTTCCACAACTAAGAGTCAAAAAACACATGCTCTGGAGGCCCTGATCGCTGGGCTCGGGGAGGAAGAGGACGCGCTGTGTGGTATAGTCGCATTTTCGCAGTGGGGCCATTCTTCTCGGAATGCTTTGCAGGGAAGTAGGGAATGAAGGTCCTAGGATGTCAAGGTTTCAAGGCTCCAACTTCCCGAGTTCCCCAGTAAGAGCCATAGGGCGTGCCGCTTCATCTGCCCTGGCCCTGCGCAGTGCCTCCTGCGAGCCCGCGCCTACGTGACCAAGGGGGGCGCCGACGGCATCATGATCCATTCGAAGGCCTCAAAGGGGAGATGCTCACTTAGGGTCCCCTGGTACTATGCATCGTATGCAAAAGAATGTCATCGGACTTCCATAAAGCCCCTCCCACAGCAGCTGTTTGAGTTGGCTTGGAGGAGAAGGATGGAGCGGACATCTTCTCCTTCATGAAGCGCTGGAGACCCGAGGCAGCATCTGTGCGAATGGCCTGCGTATGGGCTTAGGGCATGGGGCTTCGGCCAGCAACTTATCCAAACCTTGCGCCCGAAACCCTGAGCCCCAAACCCAAAGCCCTGAACTGTTGGCATGCGGCGCCAGTTCCCGGACGTTCCAGTCATCGCAGTGCCGACGACCTACAACCACGTCACCGAGGAGGAGCTGAAGGCTAGACCTCGGCAGGTCGTGTGGAAGTTTCGGGAGTCAAGGTTTCGGGAGCATTGCTTAGAAGGGGCCCACTTATGGAAAGGAGGACCCTGATCCTGAACAGCGCCGCAGGGGGTTTAGGCTTTATCGATGCTTACGGAGCTCCTGAACAGGGTGGCCGCGTTTGAGAGGAGGTCCGGAGCTGCACTCACCAAGTCACCGTGCCAGGAAGCTGGCATCAGCATCTGCATTTATGCGAACCAGCTGTTGGGGCCTCGGAGCTTCCTGTGCTTTGATTCGCTTTGATCCACTTTGACCGGTCTTGCTGGAGCCGTTATCTCCGGAGAACTCCAGGCTAAGGGCATCCTACAACGCGATGATGCTTGGCAGCAGGCTGTGAAGAGGCTTTCTAGATGACCACATTGCATGTATGTACTTGTAACCACTTTTTTTCACACACACACACACACACACAGCCCTCTCTGAAACTCAGCTGGAGCATTTGTCAAGTCTGTAGACCATGGGTGCTCCTAAGAACACTGTTCTTCTTAGAGGAAAGTCGGCAATAGTTGGGCACCCTCGACAATGTTCCCTCAAGCAGGACGGGTTTCCGAGAAAGTTCGGGGGCGGGAGGGGGAGGGGGAGGGGGGGGGGGGGCGCTCCTCCCGTCTTGACAGTCCACCTGGAGAGCCCAGGCTCGACACAGCCACGAAGATCCTGGAGGCAGGCCGCGCCAAAGAGGTGGACGGCCAGATCTTGCCGCCCCTCGGCGAGTTCTCAAGAAAGCTGATTGTTGGGGTCATGATAATAATAATAATTTTATAAATAGAAACAATAATAATACGATTATTATTATTATTATTATTATTATTATTATTATTATTATTATGATAGGGAGGCTTTTCATAATGGAGGGTGCTCCAAGGACCAAGAAGATGATCTCCCTCATTGATGACAACACTGACAAGTCGCCGAGTTGAAGCGGGCGTAAGAGGCCGCCTTCTTGCCGAGGACCCGAAACCCGAAACCCGAAACCCGAAGCACACGAAAAGAGCCCTAAACCATCCTAAGCCCGAAGTATCTCAGGATGCTGCATGAATTCGCTCCTGGGAGACCCCCCGCTGGTTCATTCAGCGCAGATTAAGGATAATGCGGGGCATGGCATAGCTCGTCTGAACCGGAATCCTTGCCTCTGAAACCTAAGCCCTAAAAGCGCAAGAAGCGCAGTGTTGGGGGGGTCTCTTAGAGTGCATGCTGTTTTCCAGTCCCTCGTGATGCGCGGGCGGCCGCGCTCCGAGGGCGCGTGCTGGCTGAATCCCGCAAGGCTCCGGAGATGGAGAACTTCTGTCCCCGAAGCGGTTGCACGGGTTTGGCTTGGCTCCCTGACGGCCAAAAAGGAGCGTGTGCACCAGGAGCATGATTGGTACAGTAGCATGTGTAGTAGATCTTGGTGGCTTCTCCCGGCTAGGGGAATCTCGAGACATCTGCCAAGTCTCCTGAGCTTCGGAACAGTGGGTGGGTTCGTAGCGTCTTTGCGACTCAACTTCATCCTTTGTAGAACATCATCTGGCTCTTTTCAATTGCAAGAATCGCAAGAAAATTTTCCAATTGGAGAACTCATCAACAAGTATCTGATTGAACATGTTAGACACTTATAAGCACAAAAGGCTCTTTCGGCCCTGGCAGGCTCCTCCCCCCCACTGACAGGCAGCACAAACAGTCAGGAACTTCCGAGCAGGAGCAGAACCTCAATCGTACCGGTCCTCTGAGCCTCTCCATCTAACAAAAAGCCCCGGCAGAGCCGGCTTATCGGTGCTATGACCTGTCCGAGAAACCAGGAGGACAAGATCCGCGAGCGCCTCAAGAACTACCACTCCCAGATCGACGGGATCACGCCCTTCTTCAAGGCAAAGAAACCCAAGCATCCGACATACTCCGGCAAATTCCGACATACTTTCGACATACTTCCCCGGCTCATGGCAGGATGTCATCCACGAGGTGGACGGCACCGGCAAGCCAGATGAGGTCTTCACCTTGATCGAGGAGGATCTCGACAAACTCTAGACAGGCCTGGCATCGTCAAGAGCCAGCAGATAGGAGCAAGTGCTGTTCCGATTATGTGGGCGAGACATGCGGGACTGAGATGTTCATCGATTCGTGGTCTTGCGAAGCTTCCGGGGCAGCCGCAGAAGCGCAAAATCACACAAATGCTCTTTTTGGCCATGTTTTTGCTAATCTCGTTCGGGGGGCAAGAGCAAGACTTTGTGGCGGATTTGTGCTGCCCATCCTTGGGCCACACATCGAAGGGCTGCTTGTTCGCTCCCTTAAAAATGTCCCAGCTCTCTGTGCTCAGAAGCTTGGATCGCTCAGAGCCTAGGGACCCTGGGGGATGAAACTGCTTGGCTGCCTCGGAACTTGCCTGATGAATCCTGACGATGCCGAGGGCTATCTGTCTTTGCAAAGGTTGGTTCTCAGCAGAAGTTAGCAGCTTCCGACATGTTGTCGTCCTATTTCTCTGCATGTCGTGTCCCTGTTGTGCAGGTGCGTGATGGAGCAGCGCTGCTCTGATGCTTGTAGAAGTTTTCTGTTTTCTCGGCCTGCAGGGAGGCACCAAGGGTCACCTTTTGGTGCTTTCTCGCCCTGTAGATGTGCAAGTTGGTGTTGGCAAGGCAGATCGAACCTCCAAGCAGAGACTAGCAGAGTTCCCTTGCCAACGCAACGCCAACACTTCACCCGGGCTGCCACACTTCGCCACTCAGTTCCTGCCCTGAGCTCAGCAAGGCCCTGAGTTAAAGCCTCCACGCACAGTTAAGCCTCAAGGAGAGGTCTTTGATTCTTCGCAGAAGTGGACATCCTGGAGCCAGTGAGGTTACAAGACCCCTCAGGAACCAGCGAAAACACGGGTGCCTGCACGATCCCATTCTGCATGATCTTGGCAGTTTAGAGCTTGGGTTTAGGATGGGGTAGGGTACTAGATAGTGCTAGGTTGGGTGATGGGTTTGGGGTTTCGTGATGTATCGGTGCACCACGTCTTGAGAAGAACGCTATCCTCTCGCGTTCGCCTGCCGCAGCTGACTTCGTGAAGTGGGAGACGATACCGGCTGGGCTCTCCACGATGAACATCGACGCCCTGGCGGCACCTAACCCCTTTGCACCTGAGGGTCTGCCAACATGTCTCTCTGCAGGGTCGGGTGCAGATTCCAAGGAGTAGCTGCAGGCATCTAGAAGATAGGCTGAGTGGATGAAGTGTTTCTTGATGGTTTTCGTTGCCGTGTCGGATGCTTAAAAGCTCTTGTTGCATGCCGAGTGGGGACATGTGCTTCGAGTTTCTTCATACCTTTCCGTGCGGCCAGCAGCAAAAATTGGCCAAGTCGTCCGCGCCTTCCCAGAACAGCTTAGGATCAGCCGAGTGTCAGCCGCCACCTGGCGTACAGGCAAGATGCTGGCAGGGGTGATAAGAGTCTAAGCCCTAAACGGCCTTAAACCCCAAAGGCCAACGAGACTACGGTCTTCGTAGATTCGGGGTTCAGGGTTTTGGCTTCAGCTTCGCACAGTGCCCTGAAGGTGGAGAAACCTGAGTAGCCGAGCACGAGCACGCAACCTGGAACTTTTTTCGGAGTCTCCCGAAAGTCAGCCTTAGTTCCGCTGAGAAGCTTCGCCCCAAAACAAGCGCCCCGCCAGCCGCTGGATGGGGCATCCGCATTCCTGGCGCGGCGCCGGTGGCGATGGCATGGCCGATTCGACTTGATTTATTGGTTAGGCTCCAGGGCTTAACGGTTTTCAGCTTGAGGGTCTCCTTGAGCAGAAGGCTTTCATAGGTTCTGGGGATGGCTGAAAATTTCGGTCACCGTCCTTACTTTCCCCGCGTGCCGGTTCCAAAGTGCAATGGTTCCTTGTAGGGGCCTCGAAGGCCTTTCCTGCCTTGGAATCAGGGGCCTAAAGCCACGAACGCCCAAAAAGCTCCTCAAACCATGAAACCCTAAACCCCCGAAGCCTAAGCCCCAAAGCCCTTCACTTTACACTCCGCAAAAGCACCCAACCCTAAACCCTGAACCTAAAGGTTAGAGCTTCCAAGGAACTGCAGGGTGGCTCCTTTGGCAAGGTGGGGAAAGCGGGCGTGCTTGAGTATTTCGTCTGGGGGTTTTGGGGGAGTTTAGGTTCTTTTTGTTGGAGTTTAGGCTTAGGGATCTTGGCGGTGTCTGGGAGTTCAGCGGTTTCGCTGCCTGGGGCTTCCGGAATTGTGCGGTTTTTCCAAAGCTTGGAGGAGTGTTGTGCGGATCTCTCTTGCAGTTGAGACCAATGGCCTTTGCAGCCTTTGCCTGCTTGCCAACTTGAGGTCTTGTGCAAGTGCTCCTGCTAGTCGGCTGGATCAAGTGTCCTTGTCCTTTGTTTGAGAGCCTTGAACGGGACGTTGAGATGGTAGAGCCATACCTAGGTGCTCTCCTTGGTTAGTAAAACAATTGGGGCATGCTCCCTGGCGCCCGCTCAGATGCTCCGATGCAATCTTAGCACCAGCAAGGAGAACAAGCTCAGATCCGTCCGACCCCAGCTCTGCACTCCGATGCTTTTGGGTGCCTTCTTTTTTTTGGGTTGCGGCTTTCTGAGATGCATTCGCAGGGTGGATGGGCAGCCACGCTGGCTTAGAGGTTACAGTAACCCTGCACATATGGCCGCCTTCAGCGATCCCCCGCATTCTGATGGTTTCCTTTCAGAACAACTTCAGGATCCGGCTGATTTAACTTGTAGCCGTCTCAGATGGCAAGCAGAGCTATGGTCCTAAGCGCTAAAGCCTCCACTTTCAACCTTTCTTCATCTGCTTCACCTGCTCGCTCCCATCGCGGTTCCATGGCCGCTGCGGACGATGTGCTGGCCATAGAGTGGCCGACTGCAGCGGATCCGAGAAAGGAGGCTGGGACAGGTTCCGACGTTCCAGGAGTAGAATCTGTCTGTGCCTCACACGACATGGTCTCGCGCACTTCAAGGGTGCTTATGAGGTGGATGTTTTGTTGATGGTCCGGTGTACCGTTCGCATGTCATGTATCGTTCTGCCCTCCCAAGAGTGCTGTCGTCGTCGTCGTCGTCGTCGTCGTCGTCGTCGTCGTCGTCGTCGTCGTCGTCGTCGTCGTCGTCTGCAACTAGCATGGCTTCATGTTCGAGATTGAATCCTTTTTTTCCCAGGCTGCCCTGCTTCTGTGACCATGGTGACCTCAGACGGTGACCCCAGACCTGCAACCCCAAACCTGACGATCCAGATCTCCCAAACCCTTAAACCTTGACACGCCCCCTAAAATCTTTAAAAGCCCTAAGCTCCCAAGTCCCCAAATCCCCACAAAACCACAACACCACTCCCAAAGCCCCCCCAAAGCCCTGAGCTTCAACCCTGGTTTGGCCAGGAGAAGTGTCGTGCCCTGCAGGAGTCCCGAAGCTTTGAGGTGTCTTAGAGGGGTTCAGGATTTAGAGCTCTTGGAGCTTTTAGGGTTATTGGAGCTTTAGGGTTATCGGAGTTTAGGGTTTCAGGAGCTGGGGTTCAGGGTTCGGGGCTCAATTCGGGTCGAGGAGTGGAAGGTTTGGTGGAGCTCAGTGCTTTTTTGTAGATTTTTGCGCCCGGGACAAAAGGGGGGGGGATGCGGGGGGTTCTAGGTTTACCTACCCAAGCCCGGACCCTCGAAATCTAAACCACCCCGAGAAGTCTGCACAGGACTTGGGCTTTGAACCTTTGGCCGATCTGGAGTCGTCTGTGGTGCGGCCCCGGAGAGGGGAGCGTCAGGGATGATAGGGTCAGAGGGGGGTCAGAGGGAGTTGGTTTGAGCTATGTGCAGTCCCTCTCAGGATACCGAAGCCCTTGAAAACACTGGAAGCCCTAGACCGTACGCTGCATGTCCGTGGTGTGTTGGGAGACGCGGGGCAGGATTCGGTGCCCAAGCCTTGAGTGGCTGGGGCTTGCTTTGGCTTCAAGTTTTCAGAAGGTTTGTTCACACATGATTCGCATTCTTGCGGGACATAGGAGATCAGGAGCTGGCGCTCTTGTGCGGCTTTGGGGTTTCTCAGAGTGTTCTTGGAGGGCTATAGGGGGTGCCGGCACGCCAAACTGCAGGCTTCTGGCTCAAGAAACCGGGTCTGTGATGCTGCGGACCTGCTAGCAGCCTCGCTTCCCATGTGCCGCCCGTGGCCCAGAGACACGCTCATAGTTACTCTCCTTAAAACCCCGTCTAAGACCCGAAGAACTCTCCCTAAACCTCCTAAGTTCGTTCGACGTCCTGAGCGATTCGGAGCTTAGGGGATGGTGTACATCAATGACTTCGAGGAGTTCGAGGCTGCGGCGCAGGAGTTGTTCACGCAGCACCCTCTCAGGACCTCCCGCATCAGACTCCAGGCTCAGTTAGGCGTGAGGCTTTGAGTTTTAAAGGTTTTGTTTTTTCGTTTGGATTTTGTTGGGCTTTGGGTCTTTTGGTCTCGCATTTTGGGCTTTAGGTTTCTTTTTTGTCTTGCAGGGCGCTCCTGGGGGTTGTTGGGTGTGGTCTGTTGGCGGCTGAAAGCAGCGTCCCAACCCCGAAGCAAGCCCTCCTGAACCAGCTCGTCGTGGCCGCACAGGACGCGATATGTGGTCAAGTACCGCCACAAGGAGGGAAAGGCGTGCGCTTGTCATCACAGCCCCCTCCCCTCCCTCCGAAGCCGCGCAGGCTAGAACTATGATGAGGGGTTCGGGCTTACGGTTCATGCTTGGCCTTCGTTCGCAACTCCCCGAACCGCTCCGGGCGACAGGTGGTCTTCCGGCAGTTTGATGCTTTGCCCCGCGTGCCCCGCGGTGTTGCCCTGTGTTCTGTGTTATGCCTCTTCAGAGGGCCGCATGCTGTCGCATAGACCCTTAAGACGTGAGGCTTGGGATGTTCCCCCTCGTATTATAATCCCAAATAAGGCTTGTTAGTATATGGGGGAAAGCAGGCCATCCTGAAAGTGACCAACGACAGGATATGCGTGGGGCCCAAGCCAAGGGCCTGCGGTTTGGGGTTTGAGGTGGGCTGGGTTTGTGGACAGCCTTCTGTCATTCCGAGAAGAAACCCAAGAAGCCTTGAAGCCCTAACCGGCCCAAACCCCCAAAGCCTGCATCCCACAAAACTCTCCTCCGATTTCCAAGAGACAGCACGAACAAACGCCAGAAACCACGAACATAGACCACGCCGAAATGCCCAAATCCAAAAACCAACACGCCAGGATCCCCCTGAGAGCCAGGCCTCAAGTTTCGCACGGAGCTCATCGCGTTCCTGAAGCGCATCGAGAAGTTCTCGCAGAACTGGGCGAGGTGGACGGTCACCAAGGCAGCCCGGTGAGGGGTGGATTAGGGTTTGTTCGGATCAAGTGTCTCCTACAGCAGAAGTAGCCTAAAAGAGCAGCCGGCCAAGCTGCCTTGGTGTTTTCCGACTGCTTCGAACCTGTGTGTGCTAAAGCCCGAACCCTAAGCTTACGACATTTGGGTCCAGTATGTTAGGGGTAGCTCAACATGACATAAATAAGCAGGTGAACAGAAGGTTTCACAGGTGTTTACCTTTTGTTTGCTTTTTGTTTACCCTTTGTTGATCTTTGTATACCTTTTGTTTACCCTCGTCTTGCCATTGTTTTACCTTTGGTTCATCTTTGTGTTACTTGTGCCTTACCTGTTAATTGAAGACACTCGCGCATGCATGGCATCCGAAAACCAACAATAGCCATCAATAGCCCAAACCCTTGACGTCAAAATCCCAACCACAAAGCCTGAATCGGCCTGTTCCGTCGAGTGGCACTTAGTGCCGCAGGACCTGACGAAGCTCAGCGAGCCCGACGAAGAACTCGAGGTGCAAAGCAGGGATTGATGTCTTCTTTGCGGTTTCAGGGTTTCGGAGTCTATTTTGGGCTTTGTGGTCGAGGGATCAGAGCACCCCAGGCTGCAGAACTTAAACTCCCGGCCACAGAATGTTTTGCAAAAGGAAGCCCGTCTGAAGCCGAAACCCTCACCACCCAAATCAGTTCCCAATCCACGAAGCAATGTTAGGCGGCCAAGACAGCTGCCAAGCCGACCGCCAAGGCGAAACGCCGGAAAGGCGCTTGAGGGGTTGGAGTGTTGGGGTGTGTCTTGCGGTCTTGCGGAGCCATGAGAGCGGGTTTTACAGTGGAGGGGACGCCGCAGACCCAAACCCCAAACCGCGCGCCTGAGAGGATTCAAGTCCCAAAGTTCCCGAGCCCCCCCAGACCACCAAATCCAACCCCAGCCGAAAGCTGACACGACGTAACCTGGGGTGTTCCCCGGAAGCTTTCGCAATAACATAACCCACAAAACGCCCCCCCCCTCCCGACGATGCCTGGCGCCTGCAGGGTGAGCAGAAACATGCTGAGCAGAACCACTGTGGTGGGTTAACGCAGAACAGCTGCGACGGAAGAGACACGTTGCCAGACGTTGTCTAGGGCAAGTCCAACGACACTTGATGACAGCAAGTTCTTGCTTGTTTACGCACTCAACCACTAGCTGTGTCATGCACTTTATCCTGGCCAGGGTCTGTTACGTAGGAGTGTAAGACGGCTGTGAAACGCAACGTTGAACCATGCTGGCTGCGGCGGGCTCACGGAGCCGGGCATTTTGCATGCAGTCGGTTTGCAACGGCGTCTTCGCTTGCCCACATGTTCTATAGCTAGTACCCCATGTACTCCCCTAACTCTATTGAGGATATTGAGGCTAAAAAGCAAGGGACGGGCCAACACATCTTTCAAGGTAGGCGACACAGCCATGGCCTGCTTGGACCTCTTGCGCACGGGAGAAAAAGTTCTGCAACCGGTTGCCTGCTTTGCTTCCCGGCACCTGGGATGCGTGTGTGTTTGCTAGAAGCAGGGTCGGAGCAACCGGGTTCTTCATCCTGAGCCCTACGCCCTGCAGAGACCCTGAGCCCCTAAACCTGCCTTATGAGGCAGGCTGAAGCTTCCTTGGGCCAGGCCATCGAGCTCCGCCTGCAGTTTGAGGAGGCCGGCTCTTGAGCTCTCGCCGGTTGAACTTCTGACTATGGCCACACTCGCTGCAGTTTGCCACAGGGTCCGAAGCGTGAGCTGACCCGCTCGGGTCCCAAGAAGACCTCACAGGAATTGGCAACAAAAATCACCTCAAAATAATACATGCACCTGACACCAACAGCCCTAAACAGCCAAGAGCACTGCCTAAGAAGGATGGGAGTTCACAGTTGTAATGATAATGACCGCGGTAGCAGCCTCGTCAAATAGCATGGCGCTATATGGCGATTGTTCGTCCATGGTGTCAACGGAAACCATATAATGCATGCATGTACGGGGCGTGTCCATCCTCCGTGATTTGGGATGATGCATGAGTATCTCGGATGGCGCCAAGGCAAGTCTCGGGATTTTCTGATCGATGTCATGCAGGCTGACGCTTCGGAGATGTCTGCATCTTTTGAAGCGGAGAGTGGGGTCGTGGCAGCTTTCCTTGCGCTCAAACTCTTGGGAAGTCTTAGGGTCAAGTCACAGGCTCCTGCTCCATTCGCCGCTGACCCACTCACTGAGATTCACTGAGCCATGCGCGCACACACAAACACACGAACACACTCATCAGCGACTGTGTCCCAGACCCAGGCGGTTGTGGTGACTGCTGTGTCGGTCCAGTGCACTTGAGTACAGGGTATCTGGGTGTATTGGGGGGTCGCAGGCATGTAGAGACGGGCCTTCATGGCTTCCATGTCTTCCACCTTCGACTTTGACGAGCTGGAACGCTTGGAGGAGAATGCCAGGCCTCTTAAGCCCAAGGAGGGCAAGGAGGGCAAGGAGGGCAAGGAGGGCCGAAGGGATACCGAGGCTGTTGAGATCCAAAGGGTCGAGGAGGGGAACGAGGAGGGGAACGAGGAGGAAGACGAGGAGGAAGAGGAGGCCGACGATGGGCTCTTCGACTTCGAGTCCAAGCACACCTTGGCCTCGGAGGTTTGCTTGGATGCCGAGGTTGCCAAGGCGGAGAATGGATCGGGTGGGATGAGTGAGCAGGCCAAGGCGGCTGAATCCTATCCGGCACTGAAAACGCTTTCCCCTGACGCGATCCGGGAGACCGGCAACGGCTACTTCAAGGCCGGAGACTTCTTGGGCGCCGAGAAGCACTACTCGATCGCACTGGAGATGCAGCAAAACCAGCCCCTGACTCCTCGCTTGTTCTCCAACCGCGCGGCGGCGCGACTTCGGCTGGGGAAGTGGGAGGGAGCTCTCCAGGATGTGATGGAGGCTGCCAAAAGGGACCCGGCCAATCCCAAAGTTTTGGAGCGGTTTGGGCGTTGCCTGCTGCTCACGAACCGACTGGCGGAAGGTGTCCACATTTGCAAGCAGCGTTTGCGAACATTGTCAGATGCCCAGAAAGCGAGCGACGAATGGAAGCCGTTTCTATCCATGTCCACGAGATTGAACCACCATGCCGGGGTGCTGCACGAGATGGAAGGCATCCTCGCGAAGATTCACAGCTACGAGGCAGGCTCAGGCACAGCCGACTTTGCGTCACAGGTCCCTGATGCGGCGGCCATTCTGCATGGCTGCGACTCGATGCTGAACCTACTCAGTGAGAGCGAGATCCCATCGCCGCTGGGAGTGCGCCTGCGTTTCGCCAAGCTTCGGGCCTACCTGTACCCTGTTCCCGGCAGCGCCAGCAATGAGTTGCCTGCAGAGAGGCGCCGCGAGTGGATTGAGAAGGCGCTGGCGGTGGTGGACGGACTTCTGGCCGAGGACCCTCAGTGGCCAGACTCGCACCATTGGCGTGCCCGCTGCTTGGTGCGCTTGGGGCGGCGCCAGGAGGCTCGGGAGAGCCTGCGCATGGCACAGCGCTTCGCAGAGCAGAAAGGCGGTCGCCACGACCTCACCGAGGACCTGCTGGACAGCATGCGGTCGCTGGACCAGCAGAAGGAGAAAGGCAATGAGGCGTACAAACACCAAGATTGGCTCTTGGCTCTGGAGTGTTATGACAAGGCCATCAAGGCAGATTTGCTCCGCATGGACATCGAGCTCTCTGCGCAGCTGCACTGCAACCGAAGCGCTGTGTTGATGCGGTTGGGGAGGACCGCCCCGGCTCTGGAGGACGTGTCGTTGGCTATTCGGCTGCTTCCCAGCTACGTGAAGGCGCGGTTCCGGCGTGGCATCCTCCACATGGAGCTCGAGCGTTATGCGGAGGCCGCCCAGGACTTTGAAGCCGTGGCCCGGACGGCCCCCAACTTTGAGGGCCTCGGGGCCTGGCGCAGCCGGGCCCTTCGCTGGGCGGCGCGGCCCCCGGCGAAGAACTACTATGCTGTGCTGGGCGTGAGCTTCACGGCCTCCCAGGCCGACATCAAGAAGGCCTACCGTCGCATGGCCTTGAAATGGCACCCGGACAAGAACGTTGACCGAGCCGAAGAGGCCTCCCAGAAGTTCAAAGCTCTCCAGGAAGCCTTCGAGGTGCTCTCGGACCCATCCCGACGCCAGGAGGTCGACGGCGAGGACCGGCCCACAAGCCCGTATGGGTATCCTGCATATCCTGGGTATCCTGGTGGGGTGAAGACGCAGTGGCCGGGTCCTCGCACCTGGGTGCCCTGAAAAGCGCAGATGCGGAGAGATGCATCGAGTCGATCGCGACATGGTGGGACAGTCCAGGTGCGCCGGAGCTGGAGTTGGCCGCTGGAACACAGCAAAACACAGCAGAACACAGCTCATCGTCGTTCTTGCAGGTCTTGCCTTCCAGAAGCGTCGTGGAGTGGCTGTGCATGGGCCATCTGCTGGGCCTGAACTCAGAGGCCATAGGAAGCCCGAGGGCATCGGCTTTGGAGAGAACTGCCATGGGCATGACAAGTGTTGAGCTTGCAAAAGAAGCTTGATTGTGTGATATATCTCAAGTTTGAGCAATCTTGCAATGGTTGGTGTGACGTCCAGTCCGGCTTTGCCTGGCAGGTGTTGGTGATGACTGACCTGGAGCTCTGCTTTTGGCTGGGGATCTTGGCATGCCATGAAAATCTATGAACCCTAGACCAAACCGCAAGGGGTGCGAAAGTTGTGTGAACGTTCTCCGAACTCCTGCTCCTGAGGCCTCCCTGCACATCGGAAGACGAGGCCGCAGTTTCGAAGCCTGCGCCGGCCTGCACCTGTCGTTTTTTCGGGTGCCTAAGTATAGGGCTCCCTACCATGATCGGAACCTCTCTTTAGGGACCAGAAGGTCATAGACCTGGTTTAGGAGGGTTAAGGGCTATGTCCATCCCAAGCCGTCACGGAGCCACTGCTGCCAGGCACGGTGGTCGCTTTCACAGCTTGCTCCTTGCGTGTGACGCTCATTGCATTCTGTGATGGCAGTTGGAAGGGGTTGAGGGCTGAGACCAGGAATCAAAGCTGAGAGCTGCTGGCTTTGTGGATTGAGTGATTGGGGCTTCGGGGGGGCTTCAATCATCGATTACTCTTTACTTCTTTTCACTTCTCAACTTCAGCCGAAAGCCACAGTCGCTCGCTGCTTCAACATGCTGCTTAGGCCGAATAGCAGCACTAAGCCCCCAGGTGCGACGCCGGGCGGTGCTTGCGGCCCGTAGGGTGCTGAGGCCAGTAGAAGTCTTTCCCTTGACCCCCACAACTCCCTTGCACCCAGTTTTAAATATGCCCAGAATGTGGTGTTGTGTGGTGGACTGGCTTCATAGTAATCATGAAACCTCGCCTCAAGGCCGCGATTTGCCGCGGCCGCGGCAGCCTGCGACCTGGAGGGTGTCGCCCACGCTGAGGCATGGAAATTCCGGCTTTTTGGGCGGGTGTGAAGTCGGATCCGAAGCAGCGCTAGCCAAACGATTCGGGTTTTGGGTTGTTCCTCCAAGACACAAACCCTAACTTCCAAGATCCCCTGCACGCTTGGGGTTCGGACCTGCAGGCAGTGCTTGATGGTTTTGTATCTTTATCACGAAAGCTACCTCCTTAGAGCTTTGCATCGTTTGTGGTTTACAATTTCTCTTGGCGGGTGACAGACGTTGATTCTCAATGGGTAAAGGTAATCCCCCGGCTCCTCGTTTTCAGCCTGCGTCTGGGATTGAGCATTGTTCCAGCTTTGAGTCTTCTTGTATTACTGTAGATCAGCTGTCGGAATTGTCTTGGGAGGCCGTGAAGGTGGACGACACAAGGAGCCCCCAGCTCAGGACTTCCTTCAATGATTGCAGCAGCAACGTTGTCGCAGATTCTGCCACTATCTGCCACTCCAAACCCCTCCAACACCCCCGACTGGACATCTGAGGCCTCACGCCTAGACTGCAAAGCAAGGTCAGAGACGAGAGCCCCCCCCCCCCCCCCAAGACATTCGCTTGCGCACAGCAAGCTTGGTCTAGCCTTCAGATTTGTCTTTTTCGGGCTCCAGTTCCTTAGTAGCTCGGCCACGTCACGGCCCTGGCACCCAAGGCAGCTGCACGGGAGTCTCAACCCCAATAAGCCCCAGAACACAACCAACACTCCATAGGCACTAACCATGAGCCCCAAACGCCCCAAAGCAGATCTTTGCCAAACAAAGCCAACAAGGGTGGTCTTTTCTCGAGGGTTGAGGTTTACCCTAAACCCTAAACCCTGGAGCAACCCTTCGGAGCACTACACCCCCCCACTCCCCGGTTAGCGTTCGACGCAGAGACTCTCAATGGAATTTTACACCGCGAAATTCCGTAGACAGGTTCTTGCGTCACGTGGCCTGCTTCCAGACTCGAAGCACCGAAAAAGCTTATGTAAATGCCACACTTTTCTGGCCTTTATCGCATCTTCACCCCATCCCAATTCCCCCGGGGAACCTCGGGGATGGCGCTTCAGGGTTTCGAGGTTCAGGTTAGGGTTTTTAGGGCTGGAGCTTTGCTCGAATCTCAAGACCCCGAGAACCCTGAGACCGAAAACCTCAAAATGCGCTCCAAGGCTTTGATCCCTCTGAGGGCAACCATCCAAAGCACCCCAAAGCCCGCAAAGAGACAGGGCAGCGATGGCCGATGAGCAGATCGATGCCGCCTCCGTGGAACCCGCGGACCTGGGGCAGGGGGGGGTGTTCAGGGTTTCAGGATTGGGGCGGAGCTCCCCGACATCTGATGGTGAGGACTTCTGTGCTTGGGTTAGTCTCACTGTCGTGCCTGAGTCTACGCCTTAGATGCAAATCCTGAGCTCATGTGCTGGGGTGCTCTCTGGGGTCTTCATATGCAGCTCCGCCTACGCCCCGAGACCCGAAGCATTAAGCCGCTTGATCCCCATCCCTCAACCCAGAGGACCCCTAAACGAAACCCTACGCCAACCTCAGGCCTAAACCGTAAACTCCAAACCCGAGTTCTGGACAGCGGACTCCTCTAAGTCCAGCAGGATGGCGAGGAAACGCCCGAGCCGATGGGGGCAGTGGCACCCCAGCTGATCCAGTTTGTAGGGTTTGGGATCCGTGAGGCCAAAACCCAATTGGGAACCCTACGCCCATGTAAGCCCCAAACACATCCAGCAATCTGGTGTAGAGTGCGACCCATTGTATTGGAAGAAGGGGCCCTAGTTCAGATGACCACATGGGCTGCCTTTCGCCAGATGATGGGGTGTGCCCTCTTCAAACTCTCCTCAAGACCCTCTCGTCCCCAAAACCAAAACGGGCACCGCTGGCATCTTGGGCCTAGCTCGCATCATCATCATCATCATCATCATCATCATCATCATCATCATCATCATCACCACTGCTTCCCCATTCAGGTTGCCACTGCCATCCAGTGATACACTGCCATCCGCTGCCTTGCTTGTTCCTGGGTCCCGAGGCCAAGCCCGTGAAGTTGCCCAAGAAGCCTGGCAAGGCGAGGAAACCGGCAAAGCCCGACGGCCAGAAGTCGGAGGGCTCCTTGGCTTCGGTTGGTTTAGGGTTTTAGCCTTTTTGGGTTCGGGGGTCCATTCACGAGGCTTTACTTGCCCAAAGTCCAGGGCGCAAAAAGGGCAGTGAATCATGAGCCTTGTCCATGTAGCACAAGTCGCAGAGACCTGTCCATGCAGACAAGCCCTCGTTCTCAACCATATGGTTCTTTGTAAACCCGAGCAATGCCGAGGAGTCCACAGCGTCGACCAGGATGGTGAGGAAACTCCTGATCCCATGGGCGTGGTGGCGCCCGGGCTGAGAATACGCACCAGTGACACTGCAGCCCCAAAGTCAATTTTACTACTTGGAACTCCAAGGCCAAGCCGGTGAAGCTGCCAAAGCCTCCTGGCGTGGGGAAGTCCAAGCCCGATGGCCCAAAGAAGTCGGAGGGCCCCTTGGACGCGTGGAGAAGTGGTTACACAAACCCTAAGCCCGAAACCCGAAAACGGCGTAGACCCCCAAAAGTGTAAGGGTCTGTACAGGAGACATGGGGAGCACTTCGAGACCACTCCAAGATCACTTCAAGACCACTTCGGCTCCAAAAAGCGAAAGCAGTTCGTGTCAGTTCTGCGCTTGACGAGGATCACACGAAGACCCCATCCAAGAGCCAAAGAATGCTGGAAAACAAAGCACGCCCCTGCCACCGTTTTTGTTAGACACGGAGCGAAGCTTTTGGTGCACGTCTGAGAGCACGACTTTTGTCACCCGTGTCTGATGTTTGCTGATGTTTCCTATCTCTCCGGATCGCACGGCGCCTACGCAATTTCTCCACAGGCCCACGGAAACATCCAGAGCGCGATCGTTCGCGATTAGAAATACGCATGGCGTCTAAGCAGAGCGTCGGGGTCATCGGTCGAGGCCCGTGCACCAGGATCAACTTTCCTTCCTCCCAACAAGGCACCCCATAGTGCAAGCGTCCTACTTTCATACAACGGAGTAACTTCACCAAAAGGAGTCCTAGCTTCGGGTCTGCAATGGCATGGGGCTTTAGGAAGGTGGTGCGCGTTTTGTCTTCTGGGTGTTGGCTCTTTGGTTTCAAGCTTCGGGTTGGCCTCGCAAGGCCCCGCCCTGAAGACCCCTCAGGCCTCCGGGCAGCAGCTCTATACAGGGATGTAGGTACCTTCTTCCCGAAGTTCCTACTACGGTAGGAACGAGTCAGCAAATCTCGAAGCTCCAGGTAAGGCAGGATCGAAGCCGGGAGACGCGGACAAGACCGGCGGGAAGGAGCCATCCAATTCTTCCCAAGCAATCCCGCAGAGCCCTATCCCCAAGACTCCTGAACCCTACAAGTCCCGCACCCGAATCCTCAGGTGCCACCCCCTCACCCCCATTCGTATCCGTTAGGGAGGCATTTTGCCCTCGACCGGCCATAGGCTTCTAGGGTTTTGGGGACGAGCCCGGCACCCCTTATCTACAAGGCTCCTGACTATGATTTTTCGGTGTGCTCCCTATGAAAATATGGTCTCTCTCTATCTCTATCTCTCGCTCTCTCTCTCTCTCTCTCTCTCTTCTCTCTTTCATTTTTTGGTAAGAGGCGAAGAAGCCGACGAAGCACAAGGGAGCCCAAAAGTCGCGAGGGCGGAAGGCGAAGAAGGGCAGCAACAAGTCCGGCAAGGTGGGGCGGGGGGGGGGGCAGCCCTAAACGTATTATTATTTTGGGTGAACTTTGCAGCGTTTCAGAAGTGGGCCCTTGATGGAGCGCGACTGAGCCCTCAACCCAAGCCCTACGAGCCGGAAGAGAGTGCCCTAAGCCCTACAAAACCTTTACCACCCCGAAGCCCTACACCCTAAACCCGAAATCCTAAACCCTAAGCCTTAACCCCGAAGCCCCAAACCGACCCTAAGAGCAGCCTGCAATTCTTCGGGTTCTTCGCCCATAGCAAGGCGTCGAATAAGACCCGGCGGATGACCAAGAAGACCAAGGCAGGGCCCCAACTCCCTTGGGGCTTCGCTTTAGGATGCTCCGGTTGAGGTTTCTATTTTTACGTTTTTTGAGCCTTAGGCTCTTGACAATTCTTGCCCTCGAAGCCCCGAATATCCAATATCCCCGAACAGAAGCGAACCTTGAACGCGGCGGGTGATGGTTGGCTCCTATAGTAACAATTCGGGGGTCGAATGGCATCCTCCTGCCGAGCATAGGGTTTTGGGTTTACGGACTTAAAGCGATCATGTTTTCTCAGATGCAAGGCAAAGTGGCGCTGCCACTGACATTGCTGTCTTAGAAACACATTGAACAAGCTTTCCTTGCAGATCCCGAGGCCATACTGCGCGAAGGTTCTCGGGCTCTGTGTAGCTGCGCTGGTGCAGGCCACTCCAGCCGGTGCCCTCGAAGAGGGCGAAAGCCTCATCAAGAAGAAGACCGACGCTGCTATTCATGGGGATGGTTGGGTTGTCGGAGTTGCTGAGGATGCGGTGACCAACTCAGGGTAGGGAGGTATGAGTTCTGGCACCTGCAGGAAGAGGAAGAACAAGGGCCCACCTGCCTACAGCAGCTTCATTTTCAAGGCGCGTTTTGTTTTTTTGTGTTTTTTAACATGTCAAGCCCAAGGTTGGCTAGGCAGAGATCTTCCGTGATAGGGTCCCAGGAAAGATGCCTTCAGTGCAGGTCTTGAAGCAGGTGCACCCAGAGCTGGGAATCAGCTGCGTCCTTATACACCGGACTGGGCAGAAGTGCTGTTCTGCTGCAAAGCGAATCTCCACTTTACCGACGATCCGGCTAAACCTTGAGTCCGGCATGTATATATATATATATACATATATAGTGACCCACGTGCACAAACGCCTTGTGTTTTGAAGTGCATGCCATTGCTGCTGAGGTAAGCGGGGCATGAACATCATGAATAGCTTCATGAACGCCACTGGGCTTCAGTGAGAGTGTAAGAGAGCAATGTACAACTTTCTCCAAACCCTACAGGCAAGGCCTCCACGGAAGCCCTTGGTGCCCAACCCCTTAAACGGGAACCCCCTTGAGAAATTTCCTTTCGATACAAGGACATCTTCGATCGCATCGCGACGGAGGCACGATGCCCTTCCCATCTCAGCAAAGCGCAGCATGCCACAACCCAGAAGCCCATTTCCTTGAACTCCCTAGGGCTCCCCAAGTTTCAAGGATGAACAGAACGGATCCAAGCCTGTACACCCTCCCTGCGCCAGTCCACCCGGCTCCTCCGATCCATGTCGAGGAGGACGTTGTCTGGTAGAGAGGTCCAAACCTCTGTGAGGCAGTGGAGATTGGGGATGTATAGAGCCGGGTGTGGGAGTCTGAGGGAACAAGGGTTTGCCATCTGTTTGAGATTCGTGGCGTTTTGTGGTCCTTGTCATTGTCCGTCGGACGTCGGGGTCAATTGGATGCCGCATGTGCCTGGACTTTCCCCTAGATGCCAGGCACGCAAACAGGCCGTCAGTGTGCAAACCCCAAACCAGGATCTCAATAGAAAGTGTCCTGGACTTCATGATCCGTTGAAGGCTCCTCCTTCCTGGTGAGTTGGCTAAGCACGCCGTGAGTGAGGGCACGAAGGCCAGCCAGGGAAGCCTGACAGCACGCATGGTGCCATGCTAGGAATGGATGTCGCACGGCCCGTTGCGGTTGCAGGCGGTGAACAAGTTCTTCAACCAGGAGGGAGAGGGGGAGACCGCCCCAAAGCACCCAGCACACTCGCCGGCCGTTGCGCCGCCTTCGTCGGCGCCAACCTCACCAGACCCGTCTCTGGCCGGCGGTGAGGCCGCACCGAAACGGGCAGTGAGGCCACGGCGCTGAGGCGCAGTGAGGCCCTGCTCTAATTCCAACCTGCTGTAACATAGGTAGCATATGGACCCTGAATGGGCCCGGATCTGTCTTCGGGGAAGCATGGGCAGATTAGCGGACACTGGCTGCACGCAAGCACGTGCGATCATGTGCCTTGAAGCGCCGAGAGATGCAGAGAGCAGAAAAAGCGCTTCTTGTCGGCGGGGCATTGTCAACCCTGACGTCGAAGTTGCAGTTGGCCCGTGTACTTACAAGACCTTCCCTGTCACTGCCCTACGCCCTCCATGAGTACCTGAATCCTTGACCTAAGTGCTCCCAGGTCTCGCTCTCCCATCACCCCAGTGCCACTCGGCGCTTCGCGTTGCGCAGGCACCGTCAGCGTACTTTCACGGGGGAGGGAATCAGTTGCACAGTTGCACATCCCGGGCTCGGGAGTTTGGCGCATAGGACTTGGGCCAAGCCTTCAGCCCCAGAAGAGAACAGGACTTGTCTGTGCCCAGGTGCCAGCGAGGGGTCTGGGCGTGGTGGTGATGGAGGACACGCCCCAACCCTCAAACGCTGGAGAGTTTGTTGTTGTGTTTCCTTTGTATCTGAGCGCCTGCAGTTCAGTCGGGTTTGAATTTTGGGAAAACCCTGGGTCCTAAACATCATAAACTCGAAAGGTCCGAAGATCTTATGTATATGTATACACACACATATGTATATGTATATTCTATGTGTGTTATATACTTAAAATGAATACATACAAGCACAAGTATATATATATATATATATGCATATAAATCTAAACCTAAACCTAAATCTAAATCTAAATCTAAATATAGAAATTGTAGATATAGATATAAACAAAGATAGGTATACTCATAAGTAGATAAGCAAATAGAAATTAAATACGCACGTGAAAAAATATGTGTGTATGTGTGTGTGTATATCTGTACATATGTAAGGCTCTAAAGGAAAGACGAAGCCGGGCCTCGCATTCCCCAGGAGGTCGGCAGTGGCGAGGAACTCTTTGCCATCGCGGAGGCTGCACGGAGAGTTTGCGTAGCTTTAACGGTTTATTCCCCACCCTCGGTGTGGGGTTGTTAGATTTTAAACTCAACTCTTCACCTCGCCCGGAACTCTTCTGCTCGTCCGGTCTACTCCTCGCTCATCCCTTGAGTCTACCAAGAGAGGGTGGGGATGTTCGAAGTAAAATGATGGTTTCGTTTTTTACATTTGACATTTTGTTTGTTTTTGGGGTGGCGGGGTGGGGGCGGGGTACACGTCTGTAGCGGGTGTCGGACCTGACTAGCGGTTGAGGGTCCTTTTCTAGTGTTGCTTTATGCATGAGCGACTGGTTGAGAGCCCAGGTACGTCTCAGAACTCTTCTATTGCGATGTGTAACCACATGTGTTTTTGTTGACAAACTAGGGCCCCTAGGCCAGGCCTGATAAAGAAACAGCTCCCCGTTTACATTGCGGACCCGCTGCGCAGGACAAGCTGCTCAATGTTTATACTGCGCTGAAGTCCCAGGTCAGGTGCGTTTGCGTTGTGAGTGGCTGAGGAGTGGAGACCCTGACTTGCGAAACGCTTTTTATGTTCAGGGTTTAGGCTTCCCCCTGCCCCATTCCGCCCAGCCCCACTCCCGCACTCTGCTGCAGCACTTCGGCAACCTTGCAGAGCAGCTGCTGCGCAGCGGCCTGCACGTGGAGGCCTTCTGTAACAAGAAGTTTTTAGTGTTCTTAGAAGCTGCTAGTGTGGGAGGGCCGAAGCAAGTAGAGGCTGCTGCACGGAAGAATCTTGCACTAAGGGCACTCGAATGAGTTCGCTGTTGTTGCTCCTGGCAGGCCGTAACCATGCTCTTTGCAATCGCAGAACACAGGCGCGGCGCCCCGCAACATGCTTTGCAGTTGCTTTCATCCCCTTCCTCGACCTCGGGCCTATCGCGGCTGTTGGGGCTTCCAAGCTCGAAGCCTCCCCAAAGCCGAACATTCCAAACCCCGCAGCCCCTGGATCAAGGCCCAAAAAAGAAAGGCACACCAAAGAACCATGATGGCAACCGAAACCATGGCGACCCCCCTAAACCCCACATGAAACCCCACCTGGCTGCAAAGGCCTAAACACCTGCAAGTTTCCTCCCCAAATCCTGTTTCAATTCAACGCCTTCCAAAATGTGCGAAGGCGCTGCCAGGCGTCGCCCACTGCGGAATCGCCGTGGAGGGTCCCTTGCCCCGAGTCCAGAGGTTCAGAGACGGCTTCTTGGGTTTTGGGGATTTGATGTTTAGGTGTTCAGGGATCAAGAATCTTGAGAGACCCCAGAACGCCCACAAAGAACCATAGAATACCATCAGCAAGCTCAAGAGACGTGCCCCTCATGCTCTTGGCAAGAAGGAATCCCTAAAGCCTAAGCCCAATTCATCGACTTCCTAAAAATCCTAAGCCCACTCTGCCATGGGATTCGAGGCAGTCTTGGAGCGTGCGCACGGCGGCCAAGCAATGCTTGGGGTTTAGCTTCCGAGCTTAGGGGTGTGAGGCTGGGCTTCGCGTAAGGGCCCGAAGCCCCCAAACGTCAGGTTCCAGTGTCGGAACTTATAGGATCTGAGGGCTCCAGGTTGCAGTGTCGGACCTCATAGCCGATCTTCCATTCGTTTGTGCTTCAGTTTTTTTTTTTGAGCTGGGGCTGATGAGAGCCACAGGCTATGGTATCGCATATTTTTCATGAGCCCTCATGCTCCCGACCACCAACCCGAAACCCTGCTGTCCTGAACCCCGAAGCCCCGACCAACCTGCATAAGGTCCAGGTTTCTTTCTGAGTCTGAGGGTAGTTGCATGGGCCCTTACACGGTCCCTAACCTCACTTTAAAGGGTTCTGAAGTATGGGCCCTTAATTTGTATAGGGTATTTTTAGCAACGACCCTTAGACTGAAACATCCCAGGCCGATGCTCACCGAGGACCTGCTGCCCATCACCTGGCCACAGGAGGCGGCGTGGATTGGTGGATTCTCAAATGCATGGGGGTTGAGAGGCCGGGGGTTCAAGGAGTTTGGGGTTACCCTTGAGCCCTTGGGCTCGAAACTGTGACTGTGACCCTCAACTTAAAGACACCGCGACTTTGTCTGCAGGCGCTGGAATCGCTCGGCGAGCAGATCTCCAAGCTTGTTGAGGTGCAGCATTTTGGGGCTCGCGAAGGCAACGGGGGGGGGGGGGGGGCAAGATGCCGGCAGTTCAACCTCCTAGGGCTCTTGCCCGACAGGAAACGCAGCTGTCCCTCTGGGCGCTGTCCCGGGAGGCCAGCAGCATGGTGGTAGCTGGCTTGGGGTTTCATGGGCGGTGGGTCTTTGCAGGGAGGCGCATGAACTCCAAGCAGCTCTTGCTGCACAGTGTTTGAACCAGTAGAGCTGCTTGGGGCCTGCTTGTTTTGTCACACCTCAACCCAGCACCTCAACGCAGCAACCAGCACGACGGACTTAACTTGTAGCCGCTCACCCGTGTCTGAGCTTTCTGTTTCTGTGTTTCGGTAAATGCTTGAGTCTGATAAGACACCATGAAGGTGTCCACAGCCCTGGCCGCGGCAAAGGCAGGAGGCAACTTCGGGGTTAGTGGGTCTTCAGGCAACTTGCCCGCCCCCCCCCCCAGAAGGAGCCCAATGTACCCGAAGCAGGGAATGAAACTGCAAGAAGTCTTCAAGCTGAAGCCCTAAAAGGCCGCTGGGGTTTCGAAGCCCGCAGATCTTCATCCCTAAGCCGCGCTGTGACTAGGGCCTGGAGAGGCGGCGAGCTGCCTGGGGGGCGCCGTGAGCTTCGATGACCTCCTCTGGGCAAGGCAAGGATCCACCTGGAATGGGGTTTCGGGTTTCTGGTTTTGTTTCTCCTAAACCCGAAGCCTTCTGCGGATGTCGATCTACCTCTCGGTTCCCTGTAGGGTTCGGAGCTCCCGGCCAGGTGCCTTTTCGACAGCCGCGCGGTGTCACTTGAGATCCAGGCCTGCCGGCCTCTAAAGCCTTAAAGCTAAAGCCCTCACACAATCCAGAAGTCCTGAACCCGAAGCTCAAAAGCAATAGAACCCCAGCCCCCAACCTTGGAATGCCCCAAACCATAGTCTTGGTAGTTGCTAGGCAAAAGACGAGAAGGTTTTGCTCGGGATCTTATAGACCCTTATTAGCCCTTTAGTGACCTATAGATCATGGACATACGACTCTCGGGCCGTCTTGCCTGAGCAAACTACTCTGACAAAGCTTGCGCATGCCCGCGCGCGGTCGCTGGTCGTGGCAGCTGACTCGTCGTCGATCTGTTCACCTCCCTACTTTGGTATGGGTAAGCAGGAAGTTAGAGGGTTCATTCTCCGAGACTACGGCCCACTCGGGCGCATTTCTTACTTTTTTTGTGCTGTTTTCTAGAGACCCTTCGAATCTTCTACATCCTGAGTCTTGAATCAGCATGAGCAGCATCATCGTGAGCAGTGAAGGCAGATGGGCCGAGCATCGCTGGCGTGCTCCAGCCTCAGTTGGCGGCATCGAGATTTGGGTGTAGGGCTGGAGAGGCATCCCCTTGCGACCGAGAGCACCCTCGGGTCTTTGGTTCAGCGCGACTTCGCACTCGAAGGATCGTAAGTTGGATTTAGGCCCGAGAACCTCAAACCCTCAAGCCCTGAAGCCGAAAAGCCATCTAAGGCCCCGAAGGTCCAAACAGACTCAACTCGAAAGACCCCGTGGGGGCCTAGAACTGCCCATAGCCCTCAGCTGCCTCGGTGCCAGGCAGCTTCCTTCGCGCGTCGTCTGCCTCGCCCCCGAGGCCCCGGCCTTTTCACTCCTCTTGACCCCAAAGCCTTGGGAGCTGCGCCAGGTGGACTTGCTCAACCACAGCTCGACAGGAGCAGGGCTCTCGGCCTGTGGAGAGGACTCGCAATTCCCCTTTGCACCAACCGGCGCGCGTCTCACGACATGTCATACGTCGATTTCCCGTGATTGGTTGCCCCCAACTATGGCCTCTTGCCACCCAGGTCTGTGCCCCGCCCTATTTCGACAACCAGCGGCGCTCGCTGATTGTTGCTGTCCCAGCATGACTGGGTCACCTTGGTGTTCACACACTTCGTGCGGACTCATCGTCAAGGCAGTTCCTGTTTAGATACACCTTCCCTGGCCCGCACTATCAGCAGCGTACTCGTGATCACACTGCCTTGGTATGCGGCCAAAGCTTTACATCAACATCGCTACATCATGGCTTGACTCGCAGATATTTGCTTCCCGCACCCGACGCCTTAACACTTGAGCATGGTATGAAGCTCACAACCTTCCAGAAATGAGAAAAAAAGCATATTGTCATCGTTCCTGTGACACATATAGGTCCTATAGGAAATGGCAAGCATCAGCAAGCAGTCAGCCGAACGCAACTGGCAGGAAAGCCGAAGACATGCGAATCCATATGATTTCATCCAACCGCCCGAGGTCGAGCTGGCAGCGCCTGCGCGACGTGGTACGGAGGCAGGGTCGCATCGGGTCCGTAGAGAACACATCAGCTGGCGAAGTCATGCAGACAGCGACAGGAGAGCCTCCCCCCCCAAGCCCAAAGGGACTAGTAACCCCCAAGCCCTAGGCTGGAAGCCCTAAGCTAAAATCCTCAAGACCCTTGTGCGATTGCTTCCAGGTTTGCCTCTCCTATGGGCCCCTCCAGAGCTGGGTGCCGGGCCCAGACCGTCTCGCACAAGGCTAGTAGGGTTCAGGGTCGCCACGCTCCTGTGTTTTCTTTCGCGACAGCTCTTGACACCTCTTGGGCAGGTGCTTGGCGGCCTCTAAATTCTTCCTCTCCGACCCCAGGCCCTGAAACCCTGACACTCTTTCAACCTCGTTGGGTTCCGTTGTCTCACGGATCGCTTCGTGACCTGATCGGTCTCCTAAGACGTCTGGAGGGGCAGGACTGGTGGTCGCGATGTTGCAACAAGACGTGAAGAAACGGCCCGCTGGCAGCCGGAGCTTTGACGATGGAAGCTGGCATCGAAGCCAGCAGACAACCAAGATCAAGACAGAGATGCTCGCGCCAAGCGGCCAATGTGCGCACCGGGTCGTTTCGTGCAGCCGGGGCATCCCGGGGGCTGCGTCTCCTAGGATCAACGAATGCAATTGAAACAGGGCGCCAGGACACAGCAGCACTTCAGCCCTAAGCCCTGCAAGAAGGATTGAAAGAGCCACCCTGCGGCTCAGGAGCTCCTGTTCTACTACGGCTTTTGCCCTGAGGCCACGGCGGGACCCTTTAGGATCTTTAGGGCCCAGGATTTCGGGGAGCTCTTATACGAACACTTGGAGAGGCCAACCCGCACGATCGGCTCATCATCAACGTCGACCTCCCTGACGACGAAGGCATGGCCGAGAAAGAGGCGGGGTCCACCAGATTCCACCTGATGTTTTTCAGCGCAGGGCCCTTTTGGAGGTTTCACAAGACTTGGGCGCCCTGACACCAGAGGTGGTGCTGCAGCTCCACGGCATCCCCACGGAAGTAGCATTGAGACCCGGCGCAGCGCAGGCCTGTCCGGGCATGGACCGCGCTGAAGTCGGAGCCGGGCACTATCACGCACTTGTGTCGCCACTGCCGCATTTCATGTCCAGCAGCGGGCCCCCTGTGTAAACGACCCCCAAGAAGGGCCTGAATTCCGGACAGCCCTCACGACGTGTGATGGGTTTTCATGGGCACTTGGGGCCAGGTTGGCGAAGGCTGGGCGGCGCTGGGCGTCCTGCCCCCGCAGCTGCTGAGGCCAGGTTCCGTGTCGCTCAGGTTAAAAGACTTTAGAGTTCCGAAGCTCAGAGTGCCGTTTTCAGGGGCTTCGTTGTGGGTGTTGTGCTGCGAGGAAAGGCTTGAGGTTTGGGATTTGGGTGTTTTGCATCCGGGAAGGGGAAACCCAACCTCAACCCTTCAGGGACTCAATTCCAGGGCGCACGAAAGCTTCAGCTTAGGATCACTGTTGGGGCTCTCGGGCCTCGCCCTAAGCCCCATGTTGGAGACGGCCGACAGGTGTTTTCGCGTGCTGCTCGGGGAGATTCATGCCCTGGATGTCGATGCCGCTCCCGGCGAAGGCCCGCTTAAAGGGTCCGGCCTTCATGTGGGGCGTTGAGAGTTGGGGCTCTTTCGGTGTCAGTTTTGGTTTAGGGGTTCGATTTTCAACAGCTGGCTCCAAGGGGCCCTAATGTAGTGCCAGGGGTAGCACACCATGTGACATAGCAGACCGATGTGGGAACTTGAAGCTCCAGCAGGTTTGGTCGTCGAGGTAGGGACCTCAAACCTTTGCTGGGTAGCTATATATCAACAACTACCTAAAAGTTACAGGAAACTTGACAAAGAAGGCCAAGCTCCAAACCCGCTGCTGGTGCAGGGAGTATGTTGGAAGTGGACCTGCAGTGCCTAGACGCCATTGAGGCCGGCAGTGACGCAGCTACCATCAACCGAGGGTTCTTGCTGCGCTTCTTGGAGGACTTGCTGGCGGGCTTGCTGGAGCCTTTGCTGACACCAGCACCAGGCACTTGCTGGAGTCGATGTGGTGTCTTGCTGAACCCTAAACCCGGCGCAATGCCTTAAGCTCATGACCTTCCTTTGCCTTTCCCCCACCCCCACTCCGCGCTAAACCTGAACTTCTGTTTGCCCTCTTGGCCGTATGACAAGCCCTGAAGCAATGTTGTCCCTCAACCCTACCTTCTGCCTGGCACAGGGGAGCCACCATTCTGGCGCACCCCTCAGAGGACTTCCAGTGCAGAATTTCGATTTTCGGGTCTTTGGGTTCAGGGAATCCTCACAGTTTCCACGAAAGTTTCGTTCCATTCATGCTGGAACCGGGGGGGGGGGGCAGCTGTGAACCGGTCTTGCACATGATTTGCCGCGACGATGCAGGAAATTCCTCACTCAAGGAAAATTCGATATTCCAAGGTGTCCGGAAGCCTGGCAATGTCGTTCGCGAAGGCGCCGCGCTTCCGCGGCGAAGGACACGCTGCCACGCCAGGCCCTGGACGGTACCAGGCTAAATTCAGTAGCCTGTCAGGGCCGAAATACGCGTTCGGGAAGCCGAAGAGCACACCAAAGGCGACAGAGCTGCCCAAGTTGCACCAAGCCCAGCTGAAGCTGGTGGCGGAGCTTGGCCGCGGTGGGCTTGCCACCGTACACAGAGCACGCTTCTGCGGCAAAGCTGTTGCTGTGAAGCTTTACCGTTGTCAGCCCGGGCTGGGAAACCCTGAGCAAGACCGCGAAGGCCTTCACAAAGAGGCTTTGCTCCTCGCAGGCCTCAGCCATACAAACATTGTACGTGCACTCTTCTTGGTGACGGACAGGGGCGTAGTCACGGGCTTTGGCCTGGAGCTCCTGGGCCAGTCCCTGCAAGCTGCCGCGCGCAACGGCCAGCTGACCGCTCAGCGCCTGGCAAGTGCCGTGGCGCCCACCTGCGAGGCCCTGGCATACCTGCACCAGCGGCCGATCGCACATCTGGATGTGAAACCGGCCAACATATGCTTCACGGCCCAGCTAAGTGTGAAGCTGGTCGACATGGATGCCGCCATGACCATGGATCATCCAGATGAGCTGACACGGCGACTTCCAGGGAACTTGGTGGACTTGTCTCCGGAGATTGTCGACAAGATGCCATACAATCCCCTGAAAGAGGACTGTTGGCAAGCAGGCTGCACCTTCACGACATTGATCGGAGAGACGCAAGTGATGCGCGACGAAGTGCTGCTGGCGCGTCTGCGGCCATTGCTTGGGCGTGCCGAGTCACGCCCCAGCATGCAGAAGTTCCTGGACGAAAATCTGCAGCAGCCCGAAGAAGCCATCAGACAGGTGTTGCAGCGCGAGGGGCTTCCAGCCCTTCTGTGGAGCCGACCTCAACCGCAAAATCCCCTGCTGAAGCTATTCGGCTGACAAGATGTGCTGGGCGCTCAGTCAAGGTGACTGGCTCCCTCCACAGCGGGCTGGCGGGCTGCAGCAAGCTTCATTCCACCCTCCTGCAGGCTTTTGGGCTGAAGATTGGTTCACCTCCGCAGCGGGCTGGCGGGCTGCAGTAAGCTTCATTCCACCCTCCTGCAGGCTTTTGGGCTGAAGATTGGTTCACCTCCGCAGCGGGCTGGCGGGCTGCATGCCACCCTCCTGCAGGCTTTTGGGCTGAAGAAGATTGGTTCACCTCCGCAGCGGGCTGCCGGGCTGCAGCAAGCTTCATTCCACCCTCCTGCAGGCTTTTGGGCTGAAGATTGGTTCACCTCCGCAGCGGGCTGGCGGGCTGCATTCCACCCTCCTGCAGGCTTTTGGGCTGAAGAAGATTGGTTCACCTCCGCAGCGGGCTGGCGGGCTGCAGCAAGCTTCATTCCACCCTCCTGCAGGCTTTTGGGCTGAAGGTGATTGGTTCACCTCCACAGCGGGCTGGCGGGCTGCAGCAAGCTTCATTCCATCCTCCTGCAGGCTTTTGGGCTGAAGGTGATTGGTTCACCTCCGCAGCGGGCTGGCGGGCTGCAGCAAGCTTCATTCCACCCTCCTGCAGGCTTTTGGGCTGAAGGTGTTTGGTTCACCTCCACAGCGGGCTGGCGGGCTGCAGCAAGCTTCATTCCACCCTCCTGCAGGCTTTTGGGCTGAAGGTGATTGGTTCACCTCCACAGCGGGCTGGCGGGCTGCAGCAAGCTTCATTCCACCCTCCTGCAGGCTTTTGGGCTGAAGGTGATTGGCTCCACCTTCACAGCGCTGGCGAAGCGGTGATGGACGGTGTGATCCCGATGCTGCCGCGGATTGGCGAGCCGTGGACTGGTCGCAAACACATTGCCTAGCATCCTCGTCTCCTACATCTACATGCAGTCTACATACATCTACCTTCCTTCGGACATGAGCAGCTGGACGATGCACACGGTTTCCTTGCTGAAGTCTGTTGTCGACTACGTTACTGGCAGTACACACGGACAAAAGCTGCTCGCAGAGTAGTCCTTCAATCCCGTCCCGGCGAAGAGCGAATGACTGGCTCTGGACCTCCAAGGTCGCGAACCTTCTGCCTGCTGCCTGTGCGGACGTGTTCTCCTGCGAGCGCACTCTGCGGACGCTTGGAATGGGCAGGGCGTGAATGTGATCAGCGTGAAGCGGGACACTTGGTCACTGTGGAAGGCCCATGAGCTGGAGGTGGCCAACCAAGCCTCGGAGGCGCGAGCGCTTGCGCCGAAAACTCACCTGGATGGCTTTCTGGATGTGGTCCCGTTGCGGTGTTGGAAACATTCTCATGACGAACTGGTCAGCGTAGATGGGCGCCAGTGGGTCAAAACAAGGTGCAGCGCGATTCCATCGGCGTTGCAGAGTCCAACCGTAAGAACACTTGTTTATTTTTTTACGCAGCCTTGCAGTAAGGTCTGTTGGGCGCGGCAGTGCTTTCCACATTCCTTAGCCTTAACCAGGCATGTACAGGGTCTAGGGCTTAGATGTGTTTAGGGGGCGAGGCGCGGTCGAGAATGGGCACCAGGCGATGTGAGTTTCCTCTGACGCGATTGGGGTGCAGTCGCTTTGGAAGGATGTTACCAGATCTTGCCTGAATCCCCCATGAATATGAATCAACCATTTTTGCTCGTACACTGCGACAGTCTACCCTGATAGGCACCAAAAGTACATAGCATCCTTCAAGGTAAGCCCTTGAACCTTGGCCGCTGCATGTTTCTTGTGAACTTTGAGGTGGCCACTTTATGGCCATCGGGTCCAGGCTGGGGCTGGGAGCACTTGTCTTTGAGCTGCTTTTGCTTCGGGTTTCCGGCTGAGTTCGCGCACCCGCAACAGGTTCATGAGCAGATGAACTTATGTTTCAGTGCATGTCACCGACTGTCGATGAACGGAAGCCCGGCGCCAACTCACAATCAGCATTTCAACCAGCCCGCTACCTGCAGCTTGGCTTGCACCCTGCGGGCTTCCTTGCCCCTGTGCTTGATAGACGCTCTCTGCTTGCAACACATTACCTTCTCCAAACGCCCACGATACACAAGGATGCCACTTGACGAACCTGCTCGGAGGCTTTCCGCAGCTCCCAGCGGAGGCTGCTCGAGGATAATGTAGCCGACCTGCGGGCCCTGCGGGACAGGCAACAGTCGGGAAGTCGTGGGGGGGCTTTTGGTCGCTCTCGGGAGTTTCGGGGGTCGGGGATTGGGGGGGCTTTCTTGTGTGTAGAGTCTTGGAACAGCCGGGGGTCCAGTGGGCTTGGGGCCCGACATCGCTATGCCTAGCAACGTTTCGATGGTGTCGGCCAAGGGCCTGCCACGAGTTTTAGGGGGTTTAGGGGGTTTAGGCGGTTCGGCGGTTTAGGAGGTTTGTTGAAGATGGAGCGTGATTCTATAGTATATGTGTGTGTAAATCAGTAAGTACACCCGACTGGGTATTCAAACCTCCAAGTGGCAGGCTCCACGGGCGCCAGAGCGAGCCTCCGCCCAAGAAGCCCCGGCGATGATCCAAAAAGACGAGACCACCTCGGGCTGCGCTGACCAACGCTTCCAAACCCTAAACCCTTGCCCCCAAAGCCAACCGCAACCCTCTTGAAAGCTCACGAACCACCCTCTTCCCCTCCTCCGCATGTCCAGTCGCAGCGATCCTCACGATCACAAGTCCAACAAGCTTTAAGAGGTCAGGAATACCAATACAAGCACTGCCGCAGAAGCTGTTCTACTGGCCACGGGGCTGCAACTTTTAGCTGCTAGCCGGAGATACTGGTATGAGCTGGTTCCCCCACTCTTCACCAGACACCCCGCTGCAACGACACATCCTCAGGCATGGAAGCCCTGGTCCCTCAAATCCGAAGCCCGAAACATCACCCGAAGCCCAGCCCGAGTAGCCATTCCCTCTCCCCCCCCTTCCCCCCCCTCGCAGGCCGCTTTCAACTCGGAGTTCCAGGGCGACCTACGGACCTTGAGGTGCGTGGAGGGGAGAAGGGGGGAGACGGAGCATCAGGGGGTTTCAAGTGGCCTGGGATGTTGGCTTTTGTTAGGGAGTTGACGACAGATGGGTTGAGAGCTGAGGTGTGGCTTCGAGGCTTCGAGGCTTCGAGGCTTCGAGGCTTCGAGGCTTCGAGGCTTCGAGGCTTCCTGACGGCTTCTGGGTTATTGGGGGTGTTACAGGAAGTGACGCCTTTTGCAGGGTTTAGGGTGTTAGGGTTCTTCATCTCCCCGCCCTCATTGCGTGCGAGGCGCGTAGCACGGTCCATGCCGGGGCCCATCCTCAAGACGCCGGAGCCGGAGCCGGACGATTGACGGCAAAGCTCGATCTTCTTCCCCCCGACAGCCGGGTTGGGGGTTGATGTGGAGATTTTGTAGGGGCTTCTAGATGTCTAGAGTTGCGAGGAGTTGGAGTTATTTGGGCATTTGGGCATTTGGGCATCATGTGGGCGTCGGGGGGCCGAATGTTTAATGACTATGAATTACGAAAGATCCTCTTATTCCGAGTTCTCCGCCTCGCCCAAAGGGCCTGGCACTAGAAGTGCTCGTTATCAGGCATCGCTCTTTTGTGATGTTGCACACAGTCCATCGGGAAGACTGCGTACCATGGTGTCACCAGCCCCTCGACTGGGGCTTCCCTGGTGGATGGTATAGGGCCTTTCCGGGGCCCTTCTGGTGAGTCCTCCTGTGCCCGCGCCGGCCTTCCTGAACAGGACCGCTTGGCACCCCAGATGGCATACCCCAACCAGCTCATGGAGCTGCCCGGCTGGCCCCCGGTGCCAAGCACCGGGGGCCCTGAAAGCCCTTGTGTGGCAGTTTTCCGATTCCATGCAGCACTTAGTGCGGAGGACCGGCGCGCTTGCGAAGAAGAAAGGTTCGTGCACCTCTGTGCGAGCGTAGCCTTGTGTCTTGGTCGCTTTAGGGGAGAAATCGCAAACGACTGTTTGCGTTTTTGCAGGCGCCTTCGATCGTCAATTCTTGGGAGCCCACATTAAGCCGATAAGCTTACCTACCTGTAGCACAAGTGCATCCAGAAGCTGCGCATGATCCACACGATCAATTGGCCTCAATGGCCAGCTTCCGCAACACTTGAAGTGCATCTTGACTGTTGCATACTGTTGCCTCCTCGATACTGAGGAGCGTGATCTCCCAGACTCCTGCCCAACTGACGAAGGTGCTGAACTCGAGGTGTTGAGAAGGACAGGGACCCAGGAGAAAAAGGAGGCGAGATGAGAAACAACAGCCTTAACAGCAGCGAAGACATTCACCCGAGAGACGCGGTCCCAGCTGGAGCGCCGTTTTCCTCATTGAAGCTAGGCACATGCTTGAGCAACCCGGTTCTTGAATCCATGTCACACCTTAGACAGGCATTTGGTCCAACCAACTTTATCGAAAAAGTAAAGAGAAGCCCGGCCGCCTCCTTGCGGACCTAAGGAAAGTGTGAGGCCTCTTCGAAGGCTAGTCTTCAATCATCTGCTTGTGATGCCACAGCTTGGCCTTGGTCATTTTCGGACCTCTGATGCTTTCTGGGCTTCAGGCTGAGTTGACATGTCTACATGCGTGAAGACTGCTTCGAGCACGGGTGCGCGAACTAACGTTCGACTTTTTTTTGGGGAGCGCTGTGTACTCTTCCAACTCTGCAGTTCATTCTTCGCGGCTTCGATGCGGGCGGCCGCACAGCAAAAGCTGGTAATGGCAGAAGCTACAGGCATGACTTCCTACTCTCGTAGGGCCAGTCGCCCTTAGATGCGCTGATGCTGTGATCGGCCTGCAAAGAGCCGGGCCGATGTCGCTCGAGATGGACACGAGGGAGTGGCTCGCCGGGCATCTCAGTGGGCCGAAGCCAGGTGTAGATTTGGCATGTGCCACGGCCTCCGACCCAAGACCCTCCATGCCAACCCTGCAAACCTTAAACCCGGAAACCCGAAACCCTGAACCCCCCCCCCCTCCCCCCGAGAAAAAGTAGAAAAGCAACAGCAAGCAACGCAAGAAAAAAAACCAATGCAGCACGCAAATCGCACGACGCCCTTTTCTGCTCAAGGCCCGGCGCCTCGCCAGCCTCCAGGGCAAGCGCGCGGAGTTGGAGGCCTCCTTCCTCCTTGATCAGGGCTTCATTGGGTTAGGAGGTTTAGGGGTCCGGAGGTGTCGGGTTTAGGCTTGAGGGTTTGAGGGTTTAGGGCCGAGGGTTTGGAGGTTTCCATTGAAGTGGTTGTCTTGAATAGGGAGTATGGGTCGCAAGGGCTTGCGATCGTTGCGATTATGCCGATTGTGGCACCTGTCGGTCGCTATAAGGGGGAATGCTGGGGGCTTCGTCTGACGCAGTCTGTTTAGAGTCAGCGGAATCCTTCATTAGGCTTGGAGGCGCTGATGGCATTCGTTCACCTACCACGTGCCAGAAAAGCTGGAATTGGAAGAAGCGCTTAACAAGGCACACACACACACAGAGACAGAGACAAACACGGGTGAGATCCTGGTTTGACCCCAAGCCCTTCTAGACCTCAACTCCGAAACCCCAAACCAAAACTCAGTGCTGTGCTGGGTTTTCGTCCGTGAGGCGCAGCTTCAAGCAAAGCACCGGACGATCAGCCTCACACCCAGTTTGCTTCGCTTCAGCCCTGTCTGAGCTTCGGTGATTGAGGTACGAGGAGTTCTACATGAGCATGCGGGTCAGGTATCATAGTCGTGGAGATAAATAGGCCGACAGACGAACCACTCGCGACCCTGAAGCTGAAATCACAAAACCATCCCTCAATCCTGAACAACCAAGAGCCCTCAAAACAAAAACGAACCATCCCTCAACCCTTTTCGACCAAGAGGCCTTAAAACCCTAAACCCTGAACCCTACACCCTAAACCCTAAACTCTGAACTCTAAACCCGGAACTCTGAACCTTGAAAACCCTTGTCGCCGCCCCAGGCAGCGCCCAGGAAGCCCTGGCGCGGCACCGGCAGGTGGCCGCCTCGCAGCAGGCGGCCCGACCGGGAGGGGAGGGGGGAGGGGGAGGGGGGAGGGGGAGGGGGGTGTGGGGGAGAGTTCGGCGGGGGTTGTAAGGGAAGGGGGAGTTGGGGGAGAGTTAGCCTGGCGTTGGGAGAGGAGGTTTGGGCTGTAGGGGCGTGTAGCGGAGTGTGGGGGAGTGTAGGGAAGTCAGTTGGGGAGAGTTAGGCGGGGGTTGAGGTTGTGGAATTCGGGTTCAGGGTTTGAAGGATGTTGTGCTTAGCTGCGAGCCAACTTGTTTCCACGCTCCAGGGCGAGGTCGAGGAAGAGCGGCGGCAAGCGGAGCTGGCCGAGAAGCAGCTGACCGAGGAGCCCCGCTTACAGTCGAAGTGCTTGCGAATCCATCTTTCGACCCCGAGCATCTTACCCCCCCCTTTGAAGATCCTTCGCGCCCCAACCCCTTCAACACCCCCAAGCTCTGAGACCACCACCAAACAGAAGACGCACCAAGAAAGAAGCCCCGTGCGAGGGAGCCGCCGCGCGGCAGCTCGCCGCCCAGCGCCTCAGCGGGCTCCGCAGGGAGAAGGCGGCGCTGTGCGCGGAGCTCGAGGCACTTGGGCTAGGGCAGAGGTTTAGTAGGACGATTACTATTATTACCTGTTACGGTTGAGAGAGAGAGAGATATATATATATGTATGTGTGTGTATATATGTATATGTGTATGTATGTATGTATATATATATATATATATATATAAATATATATGAGGCCCTATCAGCCTGCAGTCTCGCTCCAGCCCCAATCGCAGATGGTGATTGTGGGTGTGTTTGGCCTTATTCTTTTGCTTCGCGGCAGACCACCTCAATCACCTCTACATGTCTGTGCAAGGAAAGCAAGCTACTGTGGCGGCTCTGCGAGAGTCATCTGCACTTCTGCACTGAAGGGCTGTTTGTTGTTTTTTTCGATTGGGGCCGGTGGTATGCACAGGCGTGTGGGGTTACTGTAGGGTCCCGGTTTCGGTAGGGTTCCGTTTTGGGGTCTGGGTTACGCAGGCGGCGAAGAGGAGCCTCGCCACGACATCCACGGAGGCCCCCGCAACCCTGACTTCGTTCCGAGCGTAGGGAAGTTGGAGGCAGACGACCTCAGGTCTTCTTGCCCCCCTTTTTAAGGTATCCCCTTTCATAGGATCCCTGAAACTTTGGCAAGGGCCCTGAAGCTAAAGCCCTCCGAGGCCCGGAAACCCGAAAGCTCACCGCTAAGTTCGCCCTGAGTTTCTCCTAACGCCAAAATGGGGGTCTAACGACCCCCCCCCAATATAGATCCCCACATCGTAGGATTTCCTTGTAGTCAAAAACCCCAGTAACGTATTCCCAATAAATTTAGGACCCCCCCACAAGAGCCCTGATAAATAATACTTGTGGGGATGTTTGACGGAGGCATGGCCGGACTACAACCCCCAACATTCAAAATTGAAACGCCACGGACCAGGTGGAGGCGTACGACGAGCGCCTTGTGGCCAAGGAAACTCAACGGGAGCGGTTGGTACACAAGTACAAATCACTGCGAACCTTCGGTTACATGTCCCAAAATCGGGGTGCCCCTTTTCCAGCATACTCTCCCTTCTGTCAGAAATGCCAAAATAGGTACCCTACCTTCGGGAGCCCCCTCATTTTCCTTGTTGGATTTGTAGTAATTCCTGGGCCATGACGCTTGCTCGTTCGATGCAAGCCGCAATTCCACAAACCCCCCCCCCCCCCCCACCTAGAACTCCTGACTGCCTGAAAGCCTGCGCAAACTCTTGGATTCCCAAGCCAAACCTCAAAACTGACTCGCAACTCTTCCAGCCCTCCCTTCCGCAACGCGAAAGAACTTCAAACTGTTCGGGAAGCTCAGTCTCAGAGGAGGCGTCGGTGGCCGCGCTCCAGCAGCAGAGCCGTGCCAAGGCCAGCGACCTCCCTTCTCAGATGCCTTCGTGTTTTTGTGGCTACAGCATGCTATGGTAAGTTTGGCGGTTCGGGGCGGTTCAGCTGGCGCGGGGAGGCAGCTCGGAACCCAATCATAGAACCACATAAATCCTAGGTCCTTGAAGCCAGCAACATCCCTCCTCAACCTCTCTCAACCTCTCTCAACGGTCCCTCAACGGTCCCTCAACGGTTTCTCAACGGTCGCTCAACCCTGAACGTTATCCTGAAGAAAAATCCAGGTCCTAGTTGAGGTTTCGCTTGCCATTCGATGAAGCTAGGAGTGTTTGCATCAATGAACAGAAAAGTTCAGGCGTGAGAGGAAGCTCAGTTAACGGCTTTCGACTGCTAGGCATCAAGGTCTGGGCCGTGCAAAGGTCTGTCACACTGCCCCTCACTTCGCAAAATTCCGGCGCTTGAAGCTTGAAGGACTCCTTAAGGTGTGTAGGCTTCAGCATTTCTGGTTGCAACTTTGGGCCGAGACCGCAGGAACAGTCCCTCGAGAAGCTCAAGGCTGTGAAGGCGCCTTAGATCCCCTTGGTTCGAGGAGGTTGGTGAATCTTGAGCCCCGAACCAGTTGGCGAGGGCAGGTCCTCGCATGACGGCCTGTGTGACTGTTTGACTAAATCGCCCCCCCCACCCTCGGTGTCATTTTCCGGATCCCATGTGCGTGCGAGACTATGCAAGTGGGCTTCCACAGTCGCTCTGGGTCGGCCTGATGTCGACACTGGGTTCGACCTGGCGACGTGGACTCCACATGATAGCAGCTAGCGTGGATTGTACTTTTTGAGTATGCGCTGCTGAGCGCTGGCTGAGTTGGGCTTGTAGTTCCGATCTCTTGCCCCGAAGATCTGCGCCAACCCCCTAAACTCGACTCGGAGACGAGCGAGCCCAAAACCTCCCAAACCCTCGGACCTCTTAGCCGACTTATAGAGGAGGAGTTCTTCAAGCAGATGGCTGAAGAGAAGCGCCGGTGCGCAGCTCAAAGACTCCCGCATCGAGACTAGACCACTCTCCTGACCTCTGAACCTGAAGCCCTCCCCGCGCGCAAGAAGGGCTGGTAAGGTAGAGGTATCGCGCAGTCCATCCTTGCCCCCTCTCCTCAACTTCGTGTGGGAGATGCAAGATGCAAGAACGAACCCAAACCCTGAGCCCCTGAATCCTGCACTTTGACCCTAATCCCCCCCGCCATGGGGTTTGGGTGATCCGGGCCTGCAGAGAGGAAGGCCTCAGGGCACGAGGCAGGCTTGACTTTTTGCGAGGTTACAGCTGGAAAGGTCAGGAGGTTTAGGGCCCAGGGTTTGCCGTAATTCGGGTACAGGGTATATTCAGAGGCTTACAGAGTGCAACGAGGGCTTAGGCTGTTTCATTGTGGGTGGAGAGGTTGCCCCAACAAAAGGTGCTCCGGAGAGCCCCCCCCATATAGCCGTAAATCCAGGCCCAAAACTCCCGAACTCCCACAAACCCCTGAATCCCTTTGTGCTGACCCCCTGAAACCCCCCCTGCGCAACCCTCTCAACGCCCGTGAAGAGTCCGAGGAGGCAAGAGCTCCGTGAGAAGATGCGGGCCTGGCTGGCAGATCAGGTCGGGGACTCAGGTGAGGGGTTTTTATGGTTCAGGTGTGTGTGTGTGTGTGTGTGTGTGTGTGTGTGTGTGTGTGTGTGTTGGGAGTTTATGGTTTACAGGGCTTAGGGGGTTGAGGGCACTGTAAGGAATTGATTGTTCTTTTTTTTTGGGGGGTCTTTAAAGTGAATTAGTTGATGGTGGCTTTCGAAGTCAAAGCATCCCCAGATCCTCTTGCAGCTCCTCTTGCCTCATTTTTGTCGTGGAAGTGCCGTCAGGAGTCTGCAGAGAAGGCGCTGCAGGCCAAGGTCGAGCCCTCGTCTGCGGAAGGTTTCGTGCCTTTGAAGACAGCTGAAACAAAACCAGCAGCGGCATTCGAGATCGAGGCTGCCACAAAAGTTCTTGTGCCCGCAGTTGCACTAGCGGAGAAAGTTGAGACGGTCAGCTCGATGACCTGTCTGCGAAATCGAAGCCGACGTCTTGAGCCAGAAGCTTGCTACCCCCAAACCCTCAAGACCCTGCGGGGCCCTAAATATATCCTGAAGAGGTGGAGCAGCAGCTGCAGGAGATGGGGTCCTTGAGGGAGAAGCAGGAGGCTCTGCGGTTCCCAAGTCCAAGACTCTGCGGTTCCGAAGTCCAAGACTGTAACAACCTGATGCAGCCCCCCCCCCCCACCCATCCTACCTTGGCCCCAGACCCCGTACCCTAAACCCCAAACCCAAAACCCCAAACCTCGGAGCCTAAAGCCTAAACCCTGAACCCTAAGCCCGAACCCCTAAACCCTACACCGTGGGTAATCCTAAGCGCCTCGGCCCCGGAGGCCGCGCGGCGCCGCGCCGTCGAAGCCGGGGTGGCCAGCGCTGCGGAGAGGCAAAAGGCGGAGGCACGGGGCTTGAGGGAGTTGAGGGTTTAGGGTTCAGGGTTTAGGGTCTTGGTTGCTCTTTGGTCTGGTGTATTGTGGATTGGCGGCAGCATCTTCGATTTCTCTTGTCGCGCTTTCTTTGGGGTGTGCTTTCTTGTGCTGTCTCTCTCTCTCTCTTTCTCTCGCTCTCTCTTTCTATTTTGAAGCTGTGCAGTTCTGTTTCTCTCGGTTTTCGTATGTTTTCGCGCTTGTCCCCTCAGTTTGAGGTGGTGGCTAGTTCAGTGTCTCAGAATGTCGCATGCACCGGAAGTGCCGCTGAACCCAAAACTCCGAACTCCAAAGCCCCAAGCCCCGAAACTTTACAGCCCTAAACACTAGAATCCTGAACTCCTGAACCCAAGTTCGTACACCCTAGACTCACTTCCAACTCCGATGCAGTTGCCCTGATCTGGGAAACCTAGGCGGGAGCCGAAGCCCTAAACTCGAATCTGAACCCTGCACATCCTTGAATGTGCATGCTGTCCGAGGAGTCGAGGAGTGTCATCCCCTTGTACAAGAAGCAGCGGGAGGAAGGGATGACTTTGCACCCGCATGTTTTTATCAGTATTTTGCAAACCGACATCTCTGAAGCCAGAACCACCACGCTCTGACAGGAGATCTTGGAAGAGATCCGTGATCTCGTCGTCCAGGTCGGCTCTAAGACGGTTGCTTCGGGCTAACCGCTCTTGCACCAGCTCTCGCCACAGTACAGACATGGTTTGTGCATGTGCGCCTCAGAAACTGGTGATTCGGATTTTGTGCTTCCCGCCAACGCCTGCAAGGATGACCTCGCCAAGCAGGAGCTGGAGAAGGCGGGTACACGCTTCCGTGGGTCTGCGCGCACGCTTCTGTGGGTCCGCGCGTGTCCTTGTGATTGTTCATTGTGGGCGCAGGGCCTAGGCCGCAAAGCCCAAAAGGTTTCCAGGCGGAACCCGGGTTAATCGGTGGGCTGAGGGTGAGTAGCTTCTGCCTTCAAGCACAGTGGCCAGTTTTGGGGCGCCCAGCTTCTTAGAGGCTTCTCTTCGTCTCTCTTTTGGGGTCCCAGCCATGCAGGCGCTCTCCACTCTTCTGGCAAAGCAGCACAAGGAGCACCGTACCAGAACTGCACTAGAATTCGACATCTCAGCCAGCTTCACTTTCTTCAGGCTAGAGGGCTCAAGCCCCAAACCTCACATCCCCAAATTACAAACCCAACCCTCGCTCCGCCCCCAAATCCCGCAAATCCCAAACCCTGTCAGGGTCGTCCCAAGGCAAGAAGCCTTGCTAACGCATGTAGCCGCACACGGGAAGCTGCGAAAGTCTCCCAGCCCACCCCCGACCTCAAACCTGAACCCTGGGCCACAGCCACCAAAGCTCGAAAGGGCCGTAAAGAACCTCGACCTGACATCCAAACCCCCAGAAATCAAACGACTCTCAAAAGACGCCTAAGAACCCGAACCCTCCAAGCCCCACCGCCCCCCCCCCCCCCCCCCCTAAGTCCTAAATCCTAAACCCTAAGCCCTCAACCCTCAACCCTCATCCCTAAACCCTAAACCCCAAACCCCAAACCCCAAACCCTTTACGGCCAACAAGAGTGGCCATGGGAGCAGCCTTGGTGCGCTGCCTGGGACGGCTCTGCCGGGCCCCCGAAGCCGAAGCGAGACGCAGGCGTGCTTTTGGTTCAGGGTTGAGGGTTTTCCTGGGGGGGAATGGGGGTTTCATTAAGCCATTCAGGAGTACCTCTTCCATGAAGCGAGCTGCAGGTATTGCGTGGTCATGTTGGGCCTGGACGGCGCGGGCAAGACAACTGCGCTTTACAAGCTCAGATGGGGCGTCACAGATCTCAGCATCAAGCCCACCATTGGCTTTAACGCGGAGACCATCAGGCTCGAGAGGGACTCCTTCACCCTCTTTGATATCGGTGGGCATGAGAAGATCCGGCGCGTTTGGGGTCACTACAGCGACCCAGACACCGACGCCATGATCTACGTGCTCGACAGCACGGATGAACGCCGGACCTCCCACACCGAGCTGGCCCGTCTCATGAAGCTCAGGACTTTTCCGCTGCTGGTTTTGGCCAACAAGCAGGACCTCCCCGGTGCCCTGGGCGCCGAGGAGGTTGCCCGGCTGCTTGACCTGGAGCGATGGCCATGCGAGTGGCACGTTCAGCCGGCCGCTGCCGTTACGGGCGACGGCTTGTTCGAAGGCTTGGCTTGGCTTTCGGAGGTGCTGGAGAAGCGCGAGCCTCGAGTTCTGGGTCAGAGTCATGGGGCCCATGAGAGATATGGGCGCCTGACAGAAATGCTCGAGCTGGTCATGAGGGCTTTCCACCGTTATTAACATGGAGCCCGCTGAAGCCTCAAGCTCTCGGCTTTCAAGCGCCCAGCATAGATGGATCAGCTTTTCTTAGTCATGCTCAGCTGTACAGGAGGCGGTGCCGGAGAGAAAAAAGCGGCGTGTTGCCCGAGTCTTATTGATACTACGCGTGGCCTACCTGGATCGTGACATTAATCTGGCAACGGTCCTTTTCCTGTGACAAGCTGAGCCAACGAGCCGGATTCACACCAAAGTGGCTATTCGACTTTTCAGCTTGTTGAGGGTTCAGGTTTGGGGTTTGGTTCATGTCTACTTCGCCGAAAACGTAGATCGCAGAATGACTTCCCAGCTGCCATGGGCTTGCATCTTGGACTGTAGATCTTGCAGGACTTGACACTGAACTTCTCCAGCTCCGGCGTGAGGCTGGGAGGTAGCTAGCTTGGCCCATGCTTGCGCCGCGCTCTCCACAGAAGTGGGTTCTCAGTCGGTGCTGGAGAGAGCACCTTCACGAGCTGGCGCAAGCTGAGGGAAAATCTGCGTGCGGCCCTCCGCAGAAGGCGGCATGCGTTGCCGTAGCATCCTTGCGGATTGAATTAGTTAATGAAATGAAGTGGAGCTCGGACGGCCCGCTGGAGCGACAGGTGAGACATCTACAGCAGTTCGACAACTATCCAGTCTGCTGGCCCTCGAACTTCAGCCAAGTTCGTGCGCTTTGACACCGCTTAGACTTAATTGAGCTTCTGCTTGCGTGTACAGAGGAATTCGAAGATGAAGCAGCATGCATGGAGCATTGTTTTTTGGCATCTTATGAAAACCTACAGAGGCCCACGAGCCAAACCTTCGAAGTCTCTCTCTCTCTCTCTCCTCTCTCTCTCTCCCTCTCTCCCTCTCTCTATCTCTCTATCTCTCAGGTGAAGTCGGGTGAGGGAGTGTGGAGTTGTCCATCTTTGCTTCGTCGCGACCATCGTCTGCAACGAGTCCTGCCTTGCAGCACACAACAAATCGCGAACGAACATGGCCCTGATTCTAGCGCTCTGTACCACTGTGCCCGATCGCCGTAAAGCAGGAAGCCAGTAGGAAGCCCAGCAACCGCCCCAGCTCAGCACGCAACATTGGTAGTTAACTTCGCAGCTCCCTCTGTGATTCTTGGCGCCGTGGTGCACATGAGCCATGGAGGAGCAGTGCACGCTGATACCGGGCTTCACTGTAGGGAGCCGGAGCACGAAGGGTGTCCAGCACTGCATTCCCTTGTCCTGCAGTCCAAGCACCCCACACACCAAAGCAATGGCTTTTCCCCGGACCCTCTCCAAGAGCTAGCCAGCTTGCACCCATCGGTGTTTGGGTTTAGGCGCTCGCGGTGCCCACACGCCGCTTGGGTCGTTTGAGTTGGCCCCAAAGAAGCAGGAGTCGTCGATGCAGCTCCGGGCTTCACAGGCGAAGGGTGTTGGGGGGAGCAGGAAGGCTTCTTATGGGAGGCTCCAGGGTTTCAGGTTGGTTTACGGTTTAACGGTCCGTGGTTTTCGGGCCTTGGTCTGAAGCCACTGGCAAGCCACATGGAAGCGACCACCTGCCAGCCACCTGCAAGCCACCTGGAAGCCGACGAATCTTCTCCGTGCGGGGGAGGGTTTGGGGTATTGGGGTTCGTGTCTTTGCTGGCTTCCAGGGTGGACCCCCGTATCGGAGGCAACTTGGCTAGCACACCTTGCTGCAGGCCACGGCTGAGAAGGAGCACGTCAAGTTAAAGATCGAGGCGGGGGGTGTACGCCAAACCCCCCTGGACCCTAAACCAACCTTGCGGTCGACAAACTGCATCAGGAGACCTTGAACCAAAGCCCGCTGTGCAGAGCGTACGCAATGGCGTTCAATCAGGGGCTGCCTGCAGCAGGGAACAACTCCATCAATGCTTCTCAGAGAAGCCCTGTGTGCCTGCGGGCATGCATGCCGCCTAAATCGATCCGGGTGTTGGCGTGCTGTGGTTCAAGCGCACACCGCACACCTGATCAGAGCAACACCAGCAAGGAAAGCTTCGACTTCAAGCACATGCTTCGCAGAGCTGGGAGGATGCAAGTTGTGTCGAGGAGCTCTTCACGTGCCAGTTACCTTGGTTCTGAAGAGCGAACCTTGCACAAACCTTCATAAGCCCAGAATTCCGGCATTTCAGGGGCTGTTCGGGGTGAATCGAGCAAAAGGATTGCGGTGATTTCGGCACGGTTTTGGCTTGAGTCCCGCCTGATGCTTAGGCTTCAAGAGAATGAACATGACCCCCGGAAGGAAGGCTCCAAGTGTTGAACTTAGCCGCTGCAGATGCCCAAAAACCCTAAGGCCCCAAGGGTTGACAGTAGCCCTAAGAACAGAACCCCCCCCCCCCCCCCCCCCCCCCCCCCCAAAAAAAAAAAAAAATCCCCGACGCAGAGGCTCTGAAACGGACTCTGGACAGCGCGGGACTTGGTCCCGGGGCAGCCCTGAAGCCCTGAAACCCTCAAACCCTTGCCCAACTCAACCTGCCCTGCGATCTCTGTAGCAGTCCCCGGATGTCCCTTGCAGACTACAGTGGTGCAGTCACTGCACTCCCCCTTCAGCCTTGAGCACCAGTACGCGGCAGCCCGACCAGAGGGTGGAAGCCTGCAGCCTGAACCTGACACCACAGCAGATGTTTTCGGGGGTGTGAGGCCGTGCGTTTGGGGATCAGGTTTGGGGTTTACAAACGTTTTGGCTGCCAGTGCTTCAGGAGAACCAAGGGCTTGCGCAGGGTCTGCTGGGAGGATGCCGAAGTGAGCAGATCCGAGCAGCCCCTGATGACTTATATTCTAACCCCCTTTCTTTGGGAATCGTATCAAGGTCGTGACTTCTATTCCAACCCCCTTTTCTTCGGAGTTCGTATCAAGATGGCGTCCCAGGCCACCTTGTGCGGCTCAACTCCGTCCTCAATGGCCGGGTGGCTGAGAACCCCCAGGGCCGCGCAAGTTTGCCTGGGGTGGGCTTTGTGGCTTCAGGTTCGTCTTGGGATGCGGACGATGTAGGGTTTGTCTAGGCTATGTTTAGAGTTTTGGGGTTTCAGGGTTGAGGGCTTTACGCCTGAACTAGACCGCCGCGGGTGTAGAATAATATCGTATGGCATTACGGACCTTCTGAACAAAACCTTCAACCCTAGACCCTATAAACCCTGAAACCCTATACCCTCTGAAACCCTATACCCTGAAACCCTAAACCCCAAATCCGAAGCCCAAACCCCTTCCCTAAACGGTCAGACCAAGTTCTCGGCCACCGCCTGAGGTCCCGATGTCAACTTCGACCGCTTGGCATCTGCCATTCAGGCGGCCGCTTTGTTCAGGGGGACCCATTTGTTATTGTTTTTCACTTTAGGAGCTTTTGTTGGTCCCTTTTCTCTAGGTTTTCTGGGAAGGCCTATATGTTAACTGGATGTAAAAAGGGCGACCTCTTGGTCTACAGTTTAATTAAACAGCCTCGGTTTTCCTTATACTTCAATAAGAAAACCTACCTTTTTATGAGGAAACGAGGAAGCCTTTAATGCCTCTCGATGTACAGACAGACAGAAGGCGAGAAAGCAAGACAGAAAGAAAGACACAAATAAAGAAAGAAAGAAAGTAAGAAAGAAAGATACAAAGATAGACATAAATAAATCAAAACAACATAAAGACAAGAAAGAAAGAAAGTCAGACAGAACGAAAGAAATCAAACAAACACGAGCGGCAAAAACAGCAGGAAGCAGAGAAGGGTATTGTGATTGCAGCCGTCACCCCTCCCCCCGCCCTCCAACCACTCCCTGCCCAACCCCTCCCCTCCCCCCATAACCCCCAACCCACCCCAATCCCGCCACCGCTTCAAGCTGTGCAACAGATGCTTTCGAGGCGTTGGACGTGGATGTGCGAGCCAAGCTGGCCGAGAGCGGTGATCTGCCGGAAGCTGGGTCGGGTTCGTGGGCTTCATGACGGTTCATGGCTTTGTGTCATTGTGTGCTGCCGAAAGGCTATTCTCTGTCCAAGCCTCTATAAGACCCTGGGGCTTCTAAGAAGTTCTAAGAGCCCTTAAATCCTTGAAGCCTGCCGAGGCTCGAAGCAGTACCCTCGGATGGCACCTACGAGGCTTGGCAAACACCCGAAACCCCGAAACCCCGATGAGGAGTGCTTAGGATGCTCAGAATTCACCCGCTCAAAGCAGTCAGCTCTAACCTTGGACCACCGAGGTCTTGCGAAACAGCCTCAACGAGACTCAAAAGCGCTGCAAGGCGACTTTGATGCAGCCAAAGTGTCTGGCTTATATGGGTAGGTTTTTCAGGGACAACGCCGGGCATGCATCGTGTCGCGTGCCTTGGCAGCTTGCAAGCCGGGCACTCCTTAAGTCGGATGCTCTCCTTCTGGCGTTTGATGCAACAGGACCTGAACGATGAAATGCTGCGCGTGGTCCGGCACTAAGCGCTTGCTGGGCATGTTTCGGGGGAAGTTGCAAGTGGCGTGCTCGCTGGTTGTTTCGGGCTTGTTTTCCCAGCAGTGTCATGTGTTGGTTAATGCATCAGTCTGCAACTGAGTCACGCAGTGCGCGCGCTTGCACGAACCTTGTGCAGATGCAGGTATCGGTGGAAAGCCAAGTCGGTCCCTGGCTCAAGCCTCTGACTCGGTCTACCGCTTCCAAAGGCTGATGCCAACGAGGAGCTTCACAACTCGCTGCGATCACTGAAGGCCTGGCCCCCGGAGTTGAGTGAACCCAGAAGCCCGAACCCAAAACCCGTTTAGGGTTGAGTTTGGTTTGGGGTTTACGACGGGCGAGCCGGCCCTGAAGTCTTGAGCCCCAAAAATCCCACCAAAAGCCTTTTTTTTTTTTTTCCTTCGAGCGCCCTCAATGGGTCCACTGCTCAGCCGACCTCTAATGAGGCGACGAACCGCCGGCTCGTGGAGGAGGTGCAGAAGCAAACCGAGGAGGGGTGAAGGTAGGGCTGGTAGGGTTCGTGGGGTTTAGGGTTTCGCGATGTTGGGGCTTTTCCAGGCGGGGGTTTCCTGGGCCTCAGCACTCAGGCGTGGGGCTTCGGAATGCGTGTTCCGGTTGTACTGAGTGATTGGCAAGACGAGCGTGGCTCTGATCCCCCCCAAGGAGCTGTCCACGCTGACGCAGCAGCGGCTTGGGGACATGGCCACTTGGATATTCTTCCGAGCCCCCTTGAGGATCTTGAGCTCCAGGGTTCGGGGTTGCGGCCGGCAGACCCTGTCGACCTCAACTCCCTTGGGCTTGCAAAGCTCACTGCGAACCTTTTCAGCTTTTGTGTCCCTAAAATCCCGCCCATGCCCTGGGCCGCCTGGGCCTTGGCACCCTGAGCGCCTCCAAGGAGAAGCTCTCGAAGCAAGAGGAGACCTTCAGCCGTGAAAAGGCAAGGTGGGTATGGGATCGGAACGCCTCCACTACTGCCGAAGCCAGAAGCTCTAAAGTACACAGTACGTAGCCCTGAGGCACAAGCGTTGAACCACGGACTTAAACATCCGAACCTGGTGTTAGCCGCCCTCTTGCTAAACTAGCAGCCCCCTTCGAACTCCACCGGCTTGCACGTTGCCCTCGGCCTAAATCGCCCACACAACCCAAACCCAAAGCCCCAAACGAAGGCCCTGGACCCCAAACCCCCAGAAGCCTTCATCACCCACCGAATCCCCGAAAACCCCGAAAATCCCCCAAACCCCATACCCGAAGCCCGGAAACCTGCACCTGAACCCAAAACCCAAAACCCTGAACACTAAAGTCCGCGAAACCTCCGCAGAGGCCACTTGGGCGCAGGAAGCCCAGCGGACGCTTGAGGCGGAGCAGCGTCGCCTCGACGAGGCTCCCCGATCAGCTTCGCAAAGGCTCCATTAGTCAGGTTGCGAGGGCTGCGCAGCTTGGGTTGATGGTTGTTGATGGAGGGCTTCGGGCTCCTGGGGCTTAGGGCACCCGAAACCTTGTAGCCTTGCGGCACTCACACCCTGAACCCTGATTTCCGGATCGACCCCAATGGCATTCTACTCTTTAAGGGTACCAAACAAAGGCCCCCTCATGCAGATGAACCCCAAGCCCGAAGCCGTGTGGAGGCCTTCACGGAGATGCAAGAGGCATTGACTGGACGACTGGACTCCTGCTGGCGTCGGGCTAAGAGGCTGAGGGTCCGGGTTTGGGGGATTTGGGTGTTGGGATCTTGGGGCAGCTAGGCTTTGTGGGGGGTTTAAGGGTGATTGGGAGCCACGTGTTGGCACCCCAAGTTGTGTGAGCTCCCTGAGGGCAGCGCCGAATTTCTTTCCAAAGCACCATTTCCAGAAACAGACACCACGAAACTCCATTACCGGGTCAAACCGAACGCGCGATTGACGGTGCATGGTTTGCTTGCTTCTTGGCTGTGCGACTCGGCTCCTATCAACGATTCTTTCTTGCAAGGGCTTTTGCCAAGAGTCTATGCAGAGGTCGCGGCACACAATACAACCCATCCTAGGCATGCGGGCACAAACCTCCGCCGAACTCGCACGGCTTATGGATGCCGAGAGCCGTTGGATGCTGGCCGAAGGGCTCAAGGTTGTGTAGCTCTCCCTCTGAGAGTCGTGGAAATTGCTAAGGATTCAGGTCTGCACAGTAAGATGCTGCTCATGAAGTATTTTGGGGGGCGGCATCTTCAAAGTAAGAATACATGTTAATTAGTGACCAAGATTCCTAGGCTTGCTAACAAGAAAGAGCCTCAACTGTGAGACCTTCCTCTATGGCCTGGGGCCTGGCGCTTGCGGCGATCACTGCCGCAGGCTTCTTGGGAGTGGCTGTGCGGAGCCAGGAGCTCCTGCAAGCAACCGCTGAGCTGCATATGCTCTGGCCGACCTAGAAATCCCGAACCCTTCCCCTAGGCTCCAAGCCCCAAAGTCCAAGATCCCTAAGGATCCCTAAAGATCCCTACCGCTTTGGCCCCCAGGAGTTGCCACCAGGCCAGCGCAGAGTCTTTGCCCGGGGGCCCGGGCGCACATGTGTAACCTGAAGTAGGATGTAGAGGGGGGCTTGGGGGTTGAGGAGGATGGTGTGAGAGGTTGGTTGCTCCCAGCTGTTCCTCTGAGGTTGCCACAGCTCTCCTGGCCATCATGCTCTACATGCACGGCACGCGTCCCGCCAGTGCCAAGGCACTGCTGAGATGGTTCAGGAGCTTCGATGGACTGGACGAGACTGGACCCCAAACCCTTTATGTCCCATCTTGGAGGGGTGTTTAGACCCCACTAGTAGTAGTAATAGTAAGAGTAACAGTAATATTAATAGTAATAATCATAGTAATAATGGTAGTACTAATGATAGCAATAACAATAGTAACAATCATAGAACAATCAGCCTCAATCAAAGCCCTCAGAGCCCAGAAGCGCCCAAAGCAATGTAAAAACCCTGCCCGACGAATCGGCAAAGCCACGCATGTACCTTTGCTTTGCTTTCGTCTTCAGCCCTCTGCACCTCAACTCCGAACCCCAACCCTAAACCGAACTGACGTGCCTGCAGGCTCTGGCGCCTATGGGTGACGTGGAAGAGGCCTGACACCACCGAGAAGCGTGGTGCAGCGCTGATGCACAGAGCCGTCGCCACCACCTGGGAGCTTAACAAGACCCCTCGCTGCCAGCCTGAATGTGCTTCATGGCCCCTCCAGGTGCGGAGTGCACGCCAGCAGCCAGGAGGCGCTAAAGGCAGCACCTTGGGGTCTGGGAGCACAGTCATGAAGCCGTCCCTCAGTGAAAACTCTGTCTAGCGCATCAAGTGAAGACTATGGCGGAGCCGGTACATCGAGTGGGGATTTTACGAAGGAAGATCCGGACGTGGATACCCGAATGTGAACTGGAGTTACGTCAGTTTCATGGATGGTTGGCAAAACCCTTGGAGACCATGATGTGCGTGTATAGCTGCAGTTTTTCGCAGGTCGAGCCACCGCAGTGAACTTGGCTTCCGAGAGCTCCAAAACAAGATTTCCGCCTGTGTACAATGTTCCTCTGATCTTGCGCTGATATTGGCGAGGATAGGGCTATCGGAAAGCGACTTAAGGGGCAACCTGTTCGGTGTGGGATCGCAACCTAAGGGATTCTCGTAATCTCTATACGAGGGTGGCCACTCTCTTGACAACGGGTTGGCCTCGGGAGCCGACCCGTTGATGGCTATCAGCTGCACATCAACATATAAACCTACACCTGTTTGTAGGCACCGAGATTCTCCTTTTGGCCATGAGCTACAACCGGGCAAGCTCGTCCATAACGGAATCTGGATTCTACCACTGTTTGCAGACTAAGCTCCAAAAGCCCGGAGGCGACCATCCAGCGCTCCTGCTTACACCGCGGCCTTCGTGTGGCAAGGACTTCCGTGACCTTCGCCAGGGGCTGAGAGAGGGAACTGTGGCCTTGGCTTTCCCCTCTATCCTTCTGCTAGTTCCTTGACAAGTGCTTCTTCTTGGGGGGGGCTACCAAATATCAGCTCCCCTATGATACCACCCCAGTAAGGGGAACATACTTCAGGAAGAAGACTGTCTGCGTGTTTGTCTGTTTCTATGCAATCCTGTCTGACCATGTACGTACTTCCATGCATACTCCCCATCCCATATATGTGTACATGTATATATATATATATATGTCGGTGTTTTCATGTAGATGTGTAGAAATAAAGAACAGTGTGTGTGTAAGTAAGGAAGTAGGTAGGTAGGTAGGCAGGCAGGTAGGTAGGTAGAGCACCCTAAGCTCTGCCAAAAGTGTGCCTTGAAACCATCGCGATGTGAAAGAGTACCTCTACCACCCTTCGACAAATTCTCGGTTCGGGGTTTAGGTTTCGGGGTCTTCGCTGAAACGCTAGAGCGGACTTGGTGCTTTGCCGAGGCTCGAGCCGCACGCCCCCGGTAGAGGGGAAGCCTTGCGAGCGGATCTCCCGAGGACGCATCCTCCTCATATCTGTGTTCGGGGCTCTTGGGTTGAGGAGTTTTGGGGGTTTCCATTTGTAAGGCCTTGAAGCTTCGACGAGGGCTTGTGAAGAAACAAGTTTCGCCTGAGCCCCAAGAGGGCAAGGGATCGTGGGGCCATTGGGGCCTGGGCCGAAACCTGCACTTGGAGGAGTATCGCGCAGCTTCTCGGAGGCCTCGGCATCGACGAAAGCTGAGAGCTGCCTACGCCGGGCCCTAAGTGGTCGCTTTCGCTCTTAATTAGGGTACCCCCTTCGATTGGTTGAGGTTTCTGGGATGAGGGTTTAGGGTTCGGGGTTCACGGTCCTAGGATGGGCGTAGGGCCTCACGTTCAAGGGTTTAGGGTCTGCTTTGGCGATGGTCCGCAAAAGATTTAGAATCAGTTATGTGTTGTTGTTGGCCAGCAGCTGGAGAGGGCTGAGAATTTTCCAGGTTCAGAGCTTGTAGGTCGGGATGTTGATCCGATTCTGTGGGATGCCGTGGGTTTTAGCACCAAACATCCGAGGTTCGAGTGCTTCTGTGGACTCGATCCTGCTAAAGCCCCGCGCCCAGCGGCCGCGGGCCGTCAAGCTCCCGGAGGGTGCCTGCAAAAGCTACAGCTACTGGGCTTGACGGTTGTTGTTGCGGGGGGAACCTGCCAGCCCACGCCCTTGCACGCAAGGTGCGCGCAGCCTGCACCAGTCTTCCGACCTGCTGCGCCTGGGCCTCTCACCGCAGTGGAAGCCTGGGCGTCTTGAGGCGCTGTTTGCATCAGGTGGCTGGGCGGCCCACAGTGTCAGGGTTTAGGGTTTTGGGGTTTTGGGCTTAGCCCTAAACCCTAAACCCTAAACCCTAAACCCTAAACCCTAAACCCTAAACCCTAAACCCTAAACCCTAAACCCTAAACCCTAAACCCTAAACCCTAAACCCTAAACCCTAAACCCTAAACCCGTAGCCATTTTGGCTCAAGCATGTAGGGGCGGTGGGAGGGGGCTTGGGCGGGAGGGCGGGCCGCGGTCGCGCGTGTGCTGAGGCCTCTGAATGCCCACAAGCTCTGGCTTGTCAGGTCTTCCAGAAGCCTGAGTACATCAGATTGCTGTGAAGGTGCACTTCCTGAAGCTCTTCGTCTACTGGCCCTCCCGAAGCTCTCTGTCTGCTCCTGGCTTGCGCTGCGTTGCTTGCGCTGTTCAGTTGTTGCTGTGGGGGGGTGGGTGGGAGTGAGGGGTGGGATGTCGAGCGGGAGCGGCATACCCCATGCGTGGGGGAGCGCGAGCCCCGGACATCTCACCCCCGTTTGTGTGCCCGCAAAGCGGACATGCGCGTGGTGTTCTTGCAGGTTCCCTCTGCTGTACGCCGCGATTCGGGAAGACCCGCCAGTGGTGTACAGCGTGTGCTGCAAATTCTTGCTGCTGAAGAATATTTGTCGTGTCTTTTGCCAAGACCCAAGCCTCGAAACTGGAGCTGGACTTGAGACTGCGATTGTGCTGGGAATGCTCTTCCAGCTCCTTTTCCTTGACTGGAAGCAGGCCTTCGATAAAGTTGACCACTCCGCCATGATGATCGCTCTTAGGCGAATTGGATTACACAGTCAATACCTCGAAGTAATCCGAGACTTGTATGATTCCCCCTCCTTTTGTACAAAGGGCACACAAGGTGACCTTTCATGGGGTACTCCGCACACTGGCATCCGACAGGGATGCCCACTAAGCCCTTACCTATTTGTAATGGTTATGAGTGTCATGTTCGATGACGTAGATAGACGGCTTCGCACACAAGGTACTCCGCAAAATTCTTGGTCAGTAGGCAAACCTGTATATGATCTAGAATACGCCGATGACACCATGCTTATTGGCGTTACCCCTACCCAGCTTGAAGACATGCTCTGTTCTGTTCAAGTAGAGGCATCTCTTTATGGTCTTAGCCTAAATTTCGACAAAACCGAGCTACTCCGCCACCCTAACCACCCCGCCACAATCAAATTCGCCAATGGCCGCAACGTACCAGTTACAGAGTCCGTCAAATACCTCGGTTCCCAGGTAACATGGGAAAAACCGACCAAAGCAGCCTTGCAAGCCAGAGCCCAACAAGCGCATGTTTCGTTCCTTAAACTTCAACACGTATGGCAAAGCAAACTTTCCTGGAAAGTTAAATCTAGGATCTTCTATTCCTGTATAGTGCCCTCATACCTCCATGGACTCTCCACCCTCACCCTAGAAAAGACCCACTTCAAAACTATCGATGGATGGTACTTCAGATACCTCAGAAGAGCCCTGAAATCAAATCCTCATATTACTCCAGGATTTCCAATAAGAGAGTTTGGAAATGCGCTGGTAGGCCAATATTGCCATCTCAAACCTTTCTGTCCAGTCAATTTAAACTTCTCACCCAATCAATTACCACTCCGCCAGACAAGCCGCAGCACCACGTAGTCTTTTCCCCCGGATATAAGGATAGAATTAAGTTCACTAAGTCCAAATCTCGCGGACACCCCGCAAGGTATTGGTTTGAACTGGTTTCCTCAGAAGCAATACGCTACCTCAACCACCACATAGACCACTCCGCTCCCCCAAGAACGGAAGGCTACAGAAGAGACTAAGACCTAGACCCCTCCTTCGGTGATCGCCTGACGACTGCGCCAACGCGCGCCCCGACGCTTTTCCCGCTGTACCAAAAGACAGTTGGATGCGCGTGGCAAGCATAAAAAAACCCTAAACCCTAAACCCTAAACCCTAAGCCCTAAGCCCTAAACCCTGAACCTCAAAGCCTACAGCCAAGGAGACCCCAACTTCGCACCCTGTACTCCGATTGGGTATCTAGTTGATGTGGGAGGGCTGCCTGCCCAGGGCCCCCAAACCTGAATTTCCCAAGCCCCAAATCCCAAGTCTTAAGTCCTGAGCCCCAAAATCTTCAACCCAGGGTCGACTTCGCCTTCAAGTTGCCTCTTCCCAGCGAAAGCCCTGCAGCGCAAGAGTGGACAAAGCGGCCCGGCTGGCTTTCGGTCTCTTTGGGGGCGTGTTCGTTCTTAGCTTGGGCGTCTTAACTTGAGCTTCAGGCTTTTTGACCCTAGGGTCTTAGGAGGGGCTTAGGGTTTCAGGCTCGAGGCCACAGGCTAGATGATGGGACCGCAGCCTTTTGGACGCCCACGCCCTTGCAAGCCCCCGAGTTGACCCCGGAGACTTCAAGGGGCCACTGAACTCCACATCCTTAACCCTTAACCCCTAACCCCTAAGCCCTAAAGCCTAAACCCTAAACCCCCTTTGATTCTTGGATTCTTGGTGGTGCCCTCTTTATTGAAGGGGTGGGGGACTCTATGGTGCCAAGTACTTCCATACCCACCGTACACCTCATTAGTGACCTTAGAGGGTTGTTTGTATGTATGCGCAGGTATATGTTTTTTTTTCCATGTATCTATATATATATATATATACACATGTATGTATGTATGTATGTATGTATGTATGTATGTATGTATGTATGTATGTATGTATGTATGTATTGTGCACAGTATTTATGTATGTATGTATGTATGTATGCATATATATATAATATATGTATATGTATATGTATATGTATATGTATATGTATATGTATATGTATATGTATATGTATATGTATATGTATATGTATATGTATTGTATATGTATATGTATATGTATATGTATATAATGTATGTATGTATATGTTAATGTGTATATATGTATATGTTATGTATATGTATAGTATATGTATATGGATATGTATATGTATTATGTATATATATGTATATGTATATGTATATGTATATGTATATGTATATGTATATGTATATGTATATGTATATGTATATGTATATGTATATGTATATGTATATGTATATGTGTATGTATGTATGTGTGTGTAAATAAGTCAATGAAAATAAATGAGTAAGTAAGTAAATAAGCATTGAATTATTTACGTCAATAAATAAATGTATATATATATATATATGTATAGTGATATATGATGTATGCTTTCTGCACTCAAAAGGCCCCAAACTTAGAACCTTCTGCAAGCCAAGGTTTTCATGCGCTTTCGGGCTCGGCCTCGCCAAACTACAATCCGGCGGGGAGCAGGATTCCAGAGGCTGGGTGCCAGGGAAGGTTTAGGATTTAGGGTTTAGGGTTTAGGGTTTAGGGTTTAGGGTTTAGGGTTTAGGGTTTAGGGTTTAGGGTTTAGGGTTTAGGGTTTAGGGGAGGGAGGCGGAGGTTGGCTGTGCTTGGGGCCTGTGCTTGGGGCAGCTGGGGCCACCTTCATCCCCAAACCCCTCAGCCCTTAAACCCTCAACCCCTAAGCCCTAAGCCCGAAACCCAAAGCTTTCAAGCTTTTCAGGAGCCCCAGAATCAGAAGAGCCTCGCCTCCGTGGCCGCGCGGCTCTTTGCGGAGCGCCGACAGCAAGGCCGCCTGTTCAGGGGCGCAGTCTCTACGTTGACATAGAACCACAAGCCATGTAAAGAAGTAAGTACTAATCAAGCACAGCTCTTGTGTGTGTGTGTACACCTCAGTCATTTTACTTTTTCCCCGCCCTCGGTGTGGGGTTGTTAGATTTGAGCTCAGCGGTTCTCCACCCCCCAGAGAAAACCCTGCGTAGAAACCGTGTAGTTTCTAAACCCCAGGAATCCCACAACAAATCCAAGAGGCTCAGGTTTTTGGTAGGGACATTTTTCAAGTAAACCGCCTATTATCTCTTCAGTGGTTGCCGCTGCTTTGCATTCTTTGACCTTTAGACTGGAGGGAGCAGCCCTAACGGGGGGGTCTCCTCAAACCCTGAACGAGAAGCTGTCTCTCAAACTCCAGACCCTCTACCCCCTCATCACTATAGAGTCTTTCGGGGGACATCCTGCAATGTTCCTGTGGGAGACAACTCATGGATGACCCAGATTCATCCATCCAGCTGTTGCTGTCGCGACCCCTCTGAAGGCACGTGTTGTGAGACGACATCTGAGATACCCCTTGCAGCGTGACGCTTTTGACTGCCATGATGGCAAAACTCAGGTTTCAAGTTTGTGTGCAAGAAATGGCACCCGAGCTCCGACATGGCAAGCTTCGGTGCCTTTTCAGCCACGCTTTTCGATTTTGGAGTCAATTTGGGCTTTTGGTTTCAGAGGACCGGCACTCACCTGGAAAGCCTCTGCGAGTCAAACTCCCGGAGGTGCAGCAAAGAATCCCCAGGTGAGGCGGTCGTAGGAGTCTTTCGCTGGATGTTTTGGCCCAGTTCCCGGCTCTCGTCTGTACAAAGGATCCCTGCAAGAGCTCTGCTGCACAAAGCCTGCAAAAATCGTCGGAGGGCTGGACTTGTTAACAAGCGCACGGTGCCTGTAGCCGTAGCCTTGACTCGGCCATGTCCCTAACTCCCCAACCTTAAGCCCTCAATGCCCCTAACTTATGGTCCCTTTTTGGGCGAATTAACAGGGGCCCCGCCCTTACAATAGGGGAGACCCAAAAAGGGGGCCATCATTTACAGAACCGACCTAACATGCTCCAAAAAAAAAGGGCCAAAGCCTTGCGCCCTTCCAAGGCGCAAGGCCGCCACGGCCAAGGCCAAGGCCGAGGGGCTGCCAGGAAGCCCAGGATTATTTTAAGGGGGCTATAATTTGGGGGGGAACATAAAAGAAACAGTCCTGAATAGGGATTAGAGTACCCCCCCCCCCCCTCCCCTCCCCCAAATATAATTCCTATGAAGGGCGAGGGCTATAAGAGGGTATAAGGGGGGGGGGGGGGCTTGAGGGCTGCACAAGGCCCTTTCGGAAGGGCTCAGGGTCTTTTAGGGCATTTCCGGTTTCGGGGTGTTTGGGTTTCAGGGGCCTGGGGTTTAGGTCAGGGCGTTGGGATGTGGAGTTGTGGGAGGAACACATGTGGAGTCTTTTTCACTTGTAGGGCGCTCAGGGCCTGTTCAGAGTTGAGGAACATTTCTTATGGGGAGAGGTCTCAGAATCTTTTCCTGAATCGGGCGGTTCTTACAGTCTGATTGAAACCACCAAAAACCAACAAATCTCTAAACCCGAATTCACCCTAGCGCAATCTGTTTGAGCTCTAGTTAAACCCGAACTACACCACCTGAAACCCGAAGCCCCACGCCCCAATTAAACCCAATCCAAGCCAATTGCACCTTGTGTCCTCAGCCACCCCAAATCGCTGCACCAACCCGAAACTGGAAAACCCTGGACTCTAGATCCTGAACCCTACACTATGTCTTCCGATCGAGGCGGGGCAGCCAGAGACAGTTGAAGTCCGACGTGGGACCCTCAAAGCTTGCACTTGTAATGTTTGAGTTCAGGAATTCGCGTAGGGTTTGAGGTTTAGGGCCTGGGTTTGATCCGGGTTCAAGGATTTGGGGAGTGGCCTGACGCTGGCCTTGTCCTCGTTCGGGGCCTGGCTCGCATTCCTTGTCGAAGCTCTACGACAGAAGCTCCCTGCCACATCCTCTTGCCAGAATGGTATCCCCGCAACTGAGGTCCAGTCCTTCGCCCATGCGTTCAGCTGCTGCTCTCAGCCTTCTTTTGCCAAGCCTGGTGGAGCTGCTTTCCGAAGCCCAGAAGTTTCAGAGACCTTCCTTCAACCCTGCGCCACAAGGAGGCGAGTATGGAAGCCTTAGCTCTCAGCCTAATCAGACCCTGCAGAGCCACCTGAAACCCCAGACCTCAATGCCCTAAACCCTAGTTGAGCCCTGAATGAACCCCAAACTGTCAAAAGGCCCAGAACCCCCAAAAGATTACAAAATCCCTAAACCCTAAACCCTAAAACCCATAAAAATAGAAACAAGATCAGAAAACAAACGCCGAGGCCAGGGGCTGAAGGCAGTTGAGAGGGAGCTCCTGGAGAGGAGCCCCATGGAGAGCCTTCCTTTCGTTTTTCTCTCGGGTTTTGTTAGGGGGTTTTCTTTCTCGCTCGGTTTCTCCAGGTTTAGGGTTTAGGGTTTAGGGCTGTATTATGACTCAAGACCCCTACCCCCCTTCCCCCCAAGCGCAGCCCGGCGAGCGAAAGCTTGCCAAGCCCCAAGCCCCAGACACCAAAGACCGTGAGCTCACTACGATGCGAAAAACAAGCTAGCGGTTTTTGGGCCGTGAAGCTACCTTTTCACCAAAAAGGGGCCCAACCTAGTACCGCCCACAACTAGCCAAACCAGCCCGTCTGCCCCTGCCCCCCCCCCCCCCCCCCCCTCCCCCCCCCCCCCTCCCCCCCCTCCCCCCCTCCCCCCCCCACCCCACCCCCACCGCTGCCACTGTTGCAGCACCCCAACCCCTCAGAGAGGGCTTCTGTCTTTTGTGCGTCAGGATTGCGGCCGAAGAGAAGAAGATGTGGCCACCGCCTGGTTGGGACTTGGGTCTGTTTTTTTCTTGTTTTTTGTTGTATTTTGCAATTTTTGGCGGGCGAGCCTGCAGTTGCTCTCAGGACTTGTTTTGCTTTCTCGATTGGGTCTCTGTTCAGGGTGTTTCGACTCACAAGGCTATAGTCGTGTATAAAGGTAATCCGACAGTATAAAGTACAACAGTATAGGGATGTTCCCGTTACGACTGATAGATGTTTCATCGGGCATCGGTCTAAACCCCAAGCCTTACGCCCTAAGCCACCTCTCAAACGCCCAAAAAGTCTTCTTCTGCCAGGCGGCTCGAGCTCAACCGCTTGCAGGATCTTGAGCATGGCTTAGAGGTGCTTCTGGCGGGGCTTTTGGGGGAGTTTGGGGTTGTGTGGACCTTCCAGCATGTCGTTGGATGTCTCGGAGCCCCACAAAGAGGCAAATCTAGAAGTTAGCCTCGGCAACAGAGGTGCTGTCAAAGTCATTGCTGCTGACGGTTACTTCCTTGATGAACAGCAGTCCATCCATTCTGTGGGGCACAGCCAAATGCCCAAGATCCCCGGCGGCTCCAGAGCAAAATAACATACGGCAGGAGTCAGTCAACGAAGAACAGGGCTGTGTCTTGCGATCGAAATTTGCCTGTGTTGGCCTTTAGTTAGAGTTGTGCCTCACGACTAGCTTTGTAAGGAGTCACGTAGAAGACCCACACCCAATACACCCCAAAACCGTGAAGCCTACAGGTGAGGATCAAGGCCGAGAGAGAGGTGCGGTCCAACGAGGTTCAGTCTTGGAGGAGTGGGCTTCGGGTTTAGGGTCTTGGGGATTCTGGGCCCTGCGCCGGGGCCAGGGGGGGGGTTGAGTTGAGTTTCCAGTGTGCGGTTTTAGACGGTTTTGTCGTTGAGGTGGCGGATGGCTCATTCGGGGACTGGGTGTGCTACATTTTGTTCTCTTGCCGCATCTTTCGGCACGCAGAGGCTCGGGTTATGTAAGGTTCAGGGTTTGATTCCGAAGCCCATGAGGAGCCGCCATGCAGCCCTGGCCACTGACCTCGAGGCTCTCATCACTCGGCGTGACCAAGAGGTGCGACCAGGGTTACGGTTTAGGGTTTAGCGTTTAGGGTTTAGGGTTTAGAGTTTGGTTTTAGGGTTGTGCGAAACCGATTAAATTGACTAACCCTTGTTTCAGGGCCTAGGCCTAGGCCCGCTTGAGCACTAAGCATATGCAGGCATCGGGCTACCGCTGCAGCACAATTTCATGTGTGATCCCCAACGCTTGCTGATCTTCGTGAACAGTTCTGTCGGAAGCTGCCTCCGCCGCAGAGACTGTCTGGGGTGCGGGAGTCGAAGACCAGGGTCGCGGACGCGTTGGGACAACCAAGCAAGAATATCTGGATTCGTTCAACACATCGCAGGGCCCGTGTGCTCGGGAGGTTGGGGTTCCAGCAGCTCAGGGTGTCGGGTTGGGGCAATGGAGAGCATTGCTTGGCGGAGGTCTTTGAGCTCCAGTCGAAGGTCAATCTGGCCATCAGCAATCGAGAAGCGCAGGAGCATGCACTTTCCCCAGCCCTAAGCCTAAAGCCCTGGGTCGTGTTTCGGGAGCAGGCGAACTTGAGAGATGTTTTTTGCACTGGCAGGAGTCCTCGGCGAAGCAGGAGCGCGCTGCTCTGCAAGAGAAGGCATCTGTGACCCTCGATCGGGTTGCGGTTTGGGGCTAGAAGGTTGGGGATGTAGGGTTTGGTATGTGGGGCTTTCACCATGTTTCACCTGGCTCCTGCAGGCGGAGGCCTTGTCGAAGGATGTGGCGTTGGTCGAGGCGGTATGTTCTAGGACCTGTGCCAAAAAGTTCTCTGACTGCATAGACTTTCCTGTTTTGTTGACCTGTGGCTCTCAGCTTGATAGACATCGCCAAGAGACATGTCGGGCAGGAGCCCTCAAGGTCCTGAACCCTACAGTCCCCTAAAGAGTCCAAAAAAGCAGTCAGCAGCGTCCGCGTGGCCTTGCAATGGCTTCGTGACGCGTCAGGCCTGGTGAAAGCTACGACTGCGCGGCTGGTCACGTATGTTGATGGGCTTCTCCGATTAGGCCCATGGAAGACGGCTGCAACTACAACACGCCGGGTCCTGAGCCTTGCAGGTTAATTCCGTGGAACGACCGTGAACTTCGGTGCCAAAACAACGCAGCCTCGAACAATATGCGAGGCTGCACCGCCTGGACTGCCCTGCGGATGCAGTGGGCGGAGTGTTTCTATGTCTCGGGCAACGCTGGCTTTTGCAAGTGCGTTACAAGCACAAAACCTGAACCTTCAACCCCCCCCCCCCCCCACGTCTAATTTGGGAGTTTCCGCCCAAACCAAACCCCATCAGCCGCACCTGTGAAGCCCAAGTCCTCCCCGCGTTTCCAGGAGGGCAAAGACCCCTCGGAGGAGGCCTTCCGTCGCTGCGAGGACCCCGGGTATCTGCGGGGTGGTTGGGTCTTGCGGCTCCAGGGATCTCGGGCCTCCAGGGTTCCTTTGTTGCTGCTCGCGGGGATTGGGATTCTGTAGGATACCCTGCGCAGGAGGAGCAGCGGCCTTTCCTGCTCTCGGGCTTCGTCTGGTTCTCAGCTGTGCAAGACACCACAGCGTCCTGACACAAACGAGCCCTGTCGGCGTGGCTGGCTCTGCTCTGGTATTGCCATTTCGAGTCGCTCTGGCAGCTTTAGTCGGAGACAAGAGTGCCCCCAAAATGCAAACCGAAAAACAATAATCAACGTGAATACTACGAATCTCTGTCAAGAACACTCAGCCAAGATTTTGCCTCGTCCGCATTGAAGCCCCATAGTTGCTGCTCACAAAGAAGGTGACGGAACATCCCAAAGTGCTCCCTTAAACTCTCGACTTTTAGGGGATTCAGGGTTAAAAGCCCTTCAATACCCTGTATCCATAGTCCCCTGAGGCCGGCCTGGAATTCTTCTCCTGGTGGCGTGCGGGCCCTGGAAAATTAGCCGTGAGGGGCGGGGAGGGGTAGGGTTAGGGTTGGTTTGGGTTTGGGGTTTGAGGGTTGAAGCTTTTTCTTGGGCGGAGGAGTCCCCTTAGCCCTGAATCCTCGACCCTGCCCTGTTCTTTCGACCGGTTGTTGCAAGAGTTAAAGGTTCACGTTTCAAGGCTAAACCCAAGCCGTAAAATCTAAATATCTACTGCCGGCGGTGGCGACGAAAGGGGCTTGAGGGCTTGGTGGTCTTGAAGGTCAAGATGGCTCGGAAAGCCGTAAACTCTAGACGCTAAATCTCAGTCTTGGGGTCTGAGCTACTTGATTCAGGTTTGAGGGGCTCAGGATGCGCGTGTTGTAGGGTTGAGCGGCCAGCTTTTCGTTGGGATGCCGGTTTAGAGGCTATGTAAGGCTTAGCGTTGGGGTTGCTGCTCTAACTATGCGTCGGTCCGGCTTGACGAATGGGCACTGCGCTCCAACAATCTCCGCCTCAGGCGACGAGGTTTTACGGCGCTATGGCGACGAGGACGGACCAGCACCAGCTTCCTTCGGCCCATCCCCGGCTCTTCGAGACTTTGCTGTTTTTCTCGTGATGTCCTCGTCACATGGGTTGAGGCTCTACGGTGAGGGTGGGGCGCAGAGCATCTAGGATGCGCTGGGATGGGCAACATGTCGGTGGAGGTTTAGGCAACTGGGGCGCATGTCTGCAAAACCGCTTCAACCCTCAAACCTAAATAGCTGGAAACTCTAGATGATACCCTACAGTGCCCCCTAAACTCTGGCAGTCTAGAAAAGTAATAACGTGTTGGGCAGGTGGTGTACTTCGTCGAGGCATGTGGCTTGACCTCGAGACGCGCGCTGATGGAAAGCTCCTTGAAGGTCTTCGCCGCCGAGCGCGGGGCTGAGCACTTGGGTTTCAGGCTTTCAGGGGAGCGCAGCTTTCTTCTTCAGGGCATTGTAAGGGGATCAGGGTCTAAACCCTGAAAGCAAAAGCTTGAACGGTGCATCAAGGTGCGAGAAGCTTTCTGACCGAAGCAGATTCGCATACCTTCAGAGCGAGATGGTCTCTGAGAAGGTCGCCGGGCTTGCAAGGAGTCCAGAAAGTCTACTTCTGGGCGCTTCGTTTCAGTGGGCACCGTTTGGACGGCAGGTGGCAGGGACGGCAGCTAAGAGAGCCCCGAGGTTTTGTAAGGTACCAAAAGCGAGCCTTGCAAGTAAACTGCAGTTGACAAGACAGGTTCCGTGCCCAATGCCACAAGCGAAGCAAATGCGGAGACCTGGCAATCAAACACAGCCAGAGTTTCAAGATACTCAGACTTCCAAGATGTGCCCAAGGCTTTTGGTCCACAGGCTTTTCGGCTGGTCCCCAGACATCGGGACACGACACCCTGAACCCTCAGGGGAGGCTTCTTATAACACTAAACGCTCAGCTTGAAGCCTTGTAGGCCCTCGGCCCAGGACCCTCAGCTGGTCGAGCTGCTTTGGCGCAACCTCCCGGGTGTGCTACCCACAGGCACGCGGAGGAAATCTTGAGTTTGGCTCGGGAGTGGGGCGTCCGTCAAGTGCCTTTAGCTTACCTCACAATGGGGTCCACACCTCAAGCCACAACCTTTGAACATAGACACCTCCAAGACAAAATGCGGAGGACCATTGCCGGATACTGCCTCTGACGGCCGCCGCTTTTTCGTCGAAGCGCTTTTCGTCGAAGCACTGTCCCCGTCACTTTCCCTGTCCCTTAGGAGCCTGCAGGGTCAGGATGCGGGATCTTGAATACCCCCCCCCCCCCCCCCATCCCAAACAAAACTCACTAACCCCGCCGCTTGCAGGCCCTGACAAGGATGTCTTCCGCAGCTGGCCCATGCTGCGCGGCCGCAGAAGCTTGGGGTTTGCCCTTGAAGCCCCGTCGCATGGGATCAGGGCCCGAAACCCCCGAAGCACACCGAAATGCCCCCCGTAACCTTGCAGCAAAGTCCGAGAGCATACAATGGCTCACGGAGACCCCCTGCTCAGGAAGCTGGCGCCCGTCCGGCACCCCAGGTGCCTCGTGGTGCGGGTGTGAAGGTTGTTCCTCGACCCTAAAAGCCCCGTGAACCCGAACTGAGGGCTTATAATGCGGCGCACCAGTGATTTTTTCATCTACTTCGACCGGCTCATGGTATCTGAAAGCTTCTCTGAATCTGGAGGGTCTTCCCAGATTCGCCCTGGGCTCCAGCACCTAAATCCTCAAGCCGAAGCCCGAAGCCCTGAAGCCCGAAGCCCGAAGCCCGAAGCCCTGAACCCTAAACCCCAAACCCTAAACCTTAAGCCTTAAACCCTAAACCGCAGAAGCTGGGGCCTTTCCAGACCGAGGCCGCGCTGTCCCTGCTTGTGGCGGGTGCCGGGGCTGGGGGCCCCCAGCGCACTGAGGGGGTGACCAGATGCGCAAGGTTTCACTCGGGGTACTTCGGCCCCCATGCACTTTCCCCTCGGTCCCTGAAGCATGAACCAGACCTAAAAACCGGGCTTTAACCCCAAGCCCCAAAACCCTCGACACCCCCAAAGCCGACTTCGCACAAGGCGCGGACGCCCCTGCGGAGGTCTGGCCTCGAAGCACCACAGTGCTCTGCCTGCAGTTGAGGGGTCGTTTCAGGGTTTAGGGGTTTTGTACTATGGTGGTTTCCGAAATTAGGGTACCTTCTTGGGGTCCTTATTAGAAGAGAGTCCTACTATTTGGGCTCTATGTTAGGGTCCCTATGTTCGCATATGTGTATATGTACATGTATATGTATATGTCCACGACTGTATGTGTTCATGCGTACGTCCAGACACACATAGACCGATCGGTTGGATAGGCAGACAAACGGACGGAGACACACACACACACACACACACAGAGAGAGACAGAGAGACAGACAGACAGACAGACAGACAGACAGACAGACAGACAGACAGACAGACAGACAGACAGACAGACAGACAGACACACAGACACACAGACACACAGACACACAGACACACAGACACACAGACACCCAGACACACAGACACACAGACACACAGACGCACACAGACACACATACACCCATACACAGCCTAACACAGACACAACACACAGACACACAGACACACAGACACGCGTAACACAGACACACACAACACACAGACACACACAGACACACAGACCACACAGACACACACACAACACACACCACACACAGACACACACAGCACACACACAAGACAAACACACACACACACACACAGACACACACAGAACCCACACCACCGACACACACACGACACCACACACACAGACACAGACACACGCAACCCACACAGTACCACACACACACACACACACATACACCCCACACCACAGACACACACACACACACCACACACACACACCAGACACACACAGACACACACACACACACAACGACACAGATACACACCCCCACAGACCAGAGACCACGACACACACCAGAGACCACACACACACACACACACAGACACACACACACACGGACACACACACACACAGACACACACAGACACACACAGACACACAGACACACACACACACACACAGATACACACACACACACACAGACATGCACACACACACACACAGACACACACACACACACACACACACACACACACACACACACACACACACACACACACACACACACACACACACACACACATAGACACACACACACACACACAGCAACACACACACACACACACACAGCAACACACACACACACACACACGCACACACACACACACACAC